ACTAATATAATAGAAGATGTGCTGTGTCTAAACTATATGAAGATGGTAATTGACATATAAACCTGGTAATTCAATGTTTAATGTGATGGTAATTTTAACATGAAAGTGGTAATGTTGCAGGATTAACACAATTTCTTTTTCTCTTGTGTAATATGTGTTATTGAACTTACTAAAGTTTATTTCTTGAGTTGTCACCAATATTAGCAGATAAGTCTAAAATTGCTAGTAATATAATAACAGTTATACTCTGTCTGAACTGTATGAATATGGTAATTCAGCAAATAAAATTGGTAAACCAATGTTTAATGTGATGGTAATTGTAATATATATACTGGTAATTTTGTAGGTTGTACATAATTAAAAAATGACGCGAGGAAAAGGACGCATTGTTGAACAAGCGACAACCTCAGGATCAGACCAGGACTTTGATCTTAATGAAAAAGTTAATTTAGATGAAAATGACTCTAGTGATGAAAGTAGACAAATTATGCATAGTAATAGGACCCGTCAAATGTCAAAGAAGTAGACAAAGAAGAAATCTGGCGGCAAAGTATGTAATCATCAAACTTGTGGACCATTTATCATTCATATTGATGTTGTATGTTTGATAGTTTAATTGAAATGCATATACACAGGATGTATTCCTTAGTCGATGCTCACCAAATCGTTTACAAACGATTTGCAACATCTTGACAGAAGAACAACGAGACATAGTCATTGATATGGGGTTTGGAGGACTTTTCCATGTAAAATATACAAGACTTGATAGGAGGATCTGCTTAAAATTGGTAAAGTCTTTTTATTTAAATCAATAATGTATATACGCAAAGGGAGAGGAGATTTCAGTAAGCTATCACGATGTAGCCAAAGTTTTTGGGCTGCCAGAACATGGTTTGTACATATTAAATAAGTTAATTAACCTAACGACCTTTACCAAATAACTGATAAATCTAATATTTCAAACTTGAATATAGGATTGGACATTCCAGAATGTGCCATAGCCGAACAAAGAGCAATGTTGACTGAATTTAAAGGAATAACAAATGCCCAACTATTTTGGATTATTGGTAAAGGCAAAGTGGACGACCAATTTAGAAGAGCTTTTATCTTGTATGTTTTGTCATGTTTCTTGTGCCCAACTTTAAAGATGGCACCGGTCCAACACTTTTATGATCTATCATTGATATAAAAAACGTAAAAAAGTATAATTGAAGCTTATTTATTTTTAAGTGGCTTGTAAGGCAGTTGAAATCATATAAGGTAAGACAATACAAGAGTAAGACAGTAGGGATTGGAGGTTGCATATTTTTCCTTAAGATATTGTAACTTATTTGGTATAGTTTAGAAAATGTTAATTGTAAAATTGTTATAACCTATTAATTGAGTATATAAGTGTTCCCAACCCCTTGTGATCTAAAATAAAATTTCAATATTGTTGCAGGTTTTGTATTTTCATAAGCGTCCATTAAGCATCACTAGCTTTGACAAAGAATATCCTTGGGTTAAATTTTAGGATGATGACATGATAGAAAAGTAGATTCGAGAAGAGAAGAATGACATTCTGGTAAATTCTATTAATTTATCTTGAAGATTTCTATTTGTGGTTAAGTTACTGTTATTATAACGAAAATGAATTCGTACTTCATATAAAGAATTTGTTTTTAATTAATGATAATTCTATTCTTGAACAAAGTCTATTGTATCATAAAAAAGATAAAGGTGATCTTGTTGACCTACTGTGATTGAAACAGAATTTTGAAACAATGGTATAGTAAATTTTTTTTTAGTAATACAATTTTATATTTCTTTTGCTGCTGTTTAGTTTATGTTGTCATGTTATGTAATTTTGTTGTCAATTAGAATAAAGTTTTATTTATTGTGAAAATGTAGTTGTTTCAAAACTTTGTTGCAAAGACTATCAAGATGTATAAGACACAAGCAGAAGCCGCACTACCTGCTAATCGTCTTATAGTTTCTAATTCCACAGCGATGAAATCTTCACAAGATAATAAAATAAGAACTAATGATTTGGATAAATTAAGCCATAAAATGAAAAGCAAAAGTTTGAAAGAGTTTGATTTCAGAAAACATCAGTATGAAGATATACCTGAAGGTGATGGTGGACTTACTTGTGGTCGTATTGTCCAATCACATGAAGATGATTGTAGAAAAAAGGCATGCAATGCCTTATATCAGTATTGTATTAACAAGTCAATCCCACCAGAATAAAAAAAAAGAATATGAATTTATAAGTCTATGTTTTATAAATAATAGGAATACATTTTATTTATATATGACCAATTAGAGGTGAGCTATTTTAGCTTGACTAACTATTTGTCCTTTATGTGTTAGAGTGTTAGTTTCAATGTGCAGATACTATTTAAATCGGGTAGACATCATGACAATAAGACGTAGACGACAACTCTGTAACAATGTATAGTACAATGTATCATATTACTGGTAGTTCTGTTATGTTGTTTTTGACTTCCCTTTCTGCTAACTTAGTGTGTTAGTTATGCTTAGGTGGTTAGCTTGGCTAGAGCAGTTTTGAATGATACAAACATTTTTCCAAGTTCAAAGTCGCGCTATCTTTTGTCTTCATACTTCATAGTGATTGAAATTTATTTGATTTTGGTATTACATCAATATCTTTGTGTCCTTGGCGTAGTTTTTTTCATTTATCTAACTGCAGGATTGCGTAAAAGTTGATCTAGATAATTTCATGAAGGATAAGCATTTTCCATTGCGCGAATTACCCTCTTTTTTTTCCTGTTAATCAGCCTCAACTTCTGAATTGTAATTTGGTATTTTAATTGAAGTCATGTATCGCGTATTTGCTGTGTTAGAATGTCGCAATAGATTAATGCAAATATTATTGTGTTATAGATATTTGCACCAATCTTGTATTCAAAGCATTGGTAGTGCTATGTGGTAGACCGACAGAAGATGAAGTTATACGTCTTAGATTCTATGTACTCACATCACATAAGGAAGATGGCTATGTTGGATCAATTGGCGGTGTGGAAAATATTATTCCTTAAGTCATATGATGCATGTTTCATAGTTATAGTTAATGCTAAAGCTGAATAATAATATGACATTGTAGGCTAAATGATTTGAAGAAATATTCACATTGATTGATCAAAACTTTGTCTCTACAAATGCTCACCTTCAAATTGAGTATCCAAGTGTCCCAAGACAACATAATGGGTGAGTTCATCTTTCATATCACCTTATTCATATATAAGAATAATTAAAATTAAATTTACTCTTCACTTACCTTTCTTTTTTTATTACAGTTATGATTGCGGTGTGCACACCATTAAATACATGAAGATGTGGGATGGTGAAGCAGCATATGATGGTGATTCTACTATGCCAACATGGACTGAAGTGTGACATTTGTTCTGTTGTTTGTATTACACATTCGTTTATATCCATTTAACCTAAATTGGTGCTAATTAAAGTGTATATAATGCCAATAGGATAAGGTTGCAATCATTCGAGAGGAATTGTTAATAAAGTGGGTGTTGGATATCAAAAATGAAGAAAGAGAAGCTGTGTGCAAAGCAACTGATGATCATGACATGTTATTAACTCCTCCATGTATTCTTACCAGTCCAAGGTCTAAAAGGTTATCTTTAGGTGGTTGTATTGTCCAAAACATAGGTATGTGTATATGTACACTACTGCATTCTGTTGATAAGGCTAAATTGATGCATGTTAAACTTACCACATAGCGTTGATGGTTGATGTTAACAGGTTTTGAAGAAAAAGTACATGAAAATTATTGTCAACCAACTGAAGAGAAGACCAACCCTAAGTCAAACATTGGAACAAGGGTTAAGCTGAACACATATCATTGGAATATTGTTTTTCAACACTGTTGAAGATTATTGTGGGGTTTGATTGTATCCTTGTGGAGATATAAATCCGTTTGACCTAAATCCTGTACAACTTATAAAATAGGACATAAAAAATTTAGCTTAACATATACCAAAAATCCAATGAAGATAAAATTACTTTTGATTCACATTATTGCACCCTTGGCTGAGAGTTATGCTCAACAGATTGAAGAAAAGAAACAAATTTTCTTGGCTGCAAGATAGATGACTGTGACCCCAGTATGATTTCTTCAAACATCAAAACTTCAACACTTTCATTGACTATTAATCATTATAAATTTACCAGTAGTCCAATGTATACAGCTTCAATGATAATGAATAATTGAAATGGCCATCATAACTATGGCCATTGCCACCACAATAGAATAGTTGTTTCACAAATACCACCTCTAAAGAAAAGACACAGTTACAATATTTAAAACAACAAACACAGAACTTGTGTCATATCACCCAGATTGGTGATAGTTACAAATTTAACCTTAACTTCACACTAACATATAGTACATTACTATTATTACTTACAACCTTGACCGACGACTGAATGCATAAGTTACTTTCACACTACTCTACAACAGTTCCACCAAATGATTCCTACATATTGCAACAATGAAATCTGACATTAGTATTACTCTCTCTATAAGAATTGCAATTTAATACACATGTAACAATATAAATCAAAATAAAAGCACCTCAATCAGCAAGTTTGCACTTGACTTCATGTATTTTTTTGTTATACTTTCTTACAACCTTCTTGCATTTGGATATCTTCTTTTTGGTTGTTGGCCGACCTTTACGTGCTACACATGTGGGACTATGAATTGTATTCATTTGAATTGGACACTCTTCACCCAAGTTGTTAGCAATGTCTTCATCATTGGAATGTTTATTCAAAGAAGAACATATGGTTGGCAAGTTTGAAGTGAAATTATGAAGTGTTGTGTGAAGGAGTTTGCTTGCTTCCTCAGAATTTGCAACCATTTCAGCCACATTATAGAAATGCTTACACAACTTATCATACCTCTCCTTCATTGGTTTCAATTCAGTTTTATCATAGCTCGCCTTGATGTATGAATGTCTTCGTTTAATATGCTTGCTTCATCTACTGAAAATATACTTAGAAGATATTTGTTTAACTCTTTCAATTCCAAGCACCGAAAGAGAATGTCTGCACATTATACCTCTGAATTCAAATAGCAAGCACTGACAACTAATGTCCTTACTTTCTCTATTAAAAATAACCTCAAACTTGGCTTCTTTCATCTGATTACTAAATATAAAATCCTCGCACACATTATATGAAATGATAGTTCCAACCTCAAATTTTTTTGCTGTAGCACAGTTCATTTTACCTCTAAATTCTGCTTGAACTTCAGCAAACTTGGCCTTTGTATACTCAGCTTGAAATTGTCTTTCAATAAGGGAGTTTGACCCATACTGAATTGTCGTGTTCATTGTGCGAAAGTCAGCTTCCACTTCCTTCTCCACTTTGCTCTTTAATGTATTGTCATATTGCTTCACAAACTGTTGTAGGCTTGTCTTCGAGTTTAAATATCCATGAAAAAAGGCGTGTACGCTCTCACTTCTTTGTGTGGTTGATAGTCCAGCCCAAAAATCTTGTTTTAAATATATTGGCACCCATCTATGCCGGTCTTTGAATAATCCACACAACCATTGATTTTGTTTAACATCAAACTTCTTCAAGAAAGAATACCATTTCTCTTCAAAATCATCCTTCATTACACTATCATAAACAACATCTTTCATTGTTGATTTGATTTGTTTATATTGACCATATCCCTTCAGTATTTCTGGAATTTTTTTCATTATATGCCATAAACACCATCTGTGCTGAGTATTAGGCAAAGCTATTGCAATAGCATTTTGTATTGCCTTGCATTGCTCAGTCACAATCCCATTGGGTGCCTTCCCACACATGCATCTAAGCCAACAATTGAAAAGTCACACAAATGTTTCTGTATCTTTTGCTGATATTAAGCTACAGCCAAGTAAAACTGACTGACAATGGTGATTTACACCAACAAAAGCAGCAAAGGGCATGTCATACTTGTTGGTTAGGTAGGTTGTATCAAAACTAACGATATCTCCAAAAGATTCATATGCAACTCAACTTCTAGCATCTGCCCAAATATATTTCTTATGCAAAAGTCTTCATCAACATCAATATCATACCAGAACTGACTATTTTCTTCCTTCATCCTACAAAAATAATCTACCAATGCTTTTGAATCTCCTTCCTTGGCAATCAAACGTCTTTCCTTGTTAATGTAGTTTCTCACATCCTTTTCTACAAATTTCAAATTATCATGTCCACCAACATCATGAACAAGGGTTTGAAAAGTCTTGTTTATCCTCACTCCTGCCTCACTGTGTAAATCAAGAGTTCTTCTTACATGCATGCTAATATTCTTATTTTTTTTAAACATTCTAGCCTTCAAAGGACTCAATCCATGAGAATGTTGTAGAACAACTGTTTTTATAGACCATTTTCTATATCCCCCTTCTTTGTTGTGATCTTTACTTCACATTTGACAGCTATCCTGGGAAGTGTCTTCAAAGTTGTTGGTACCTTTGAAGAGTTCTTTCCTTTTCGTATGCATGCAAGTATCAAATAATTCAACTCTCCATCAGGGCCTTTTTTTTAATTTCTAATCTTCCATCCAAAACCCACTTTAGTTGAATAGTTCTTGTAAAATACTTTAACAGCTTCAACATCATCAAACTTCATTCCAACACTTGGCTCAACTATGTCAGAGCTATCACAGCTATCATCCTCACTAGCAACTTCAAACACGGGTTCAACAACATTTTCGTTGCATGCTTCTGTGCTTCCTCCTCAATAAATAGAAATAAAAAAATTAAACTTTATAAAACAGAGGATGTTCTATAAAACTGAGGGTCATGGGCGTGAGCTTTGTCAAAGACTCATTTACTAAAAACTATTCAGCTAAAATGCAAGACCCTGGGTTTCCAATTTATATTGCACCACCTTTGATAGGACTTATGTATCACTCAAATGAGAAGTGAGACAACAAACTCACACACAGTAACGCAGAGTGTAAGACGAAAGTAACGTGAATAACAAATAACATAACAAAGATGTAGTTTTAGCAGAGGAAGAACATTGTGGGATTGAAGAACTTCATATTTCTGGAGAGGAGAAAGACAAAAAAGAAGAAGAAGAAAAACAAAAAGAAAATGAAGAAGAAGAAGAAGAAACCATAGAGAAAGCGTGAGAGGAGAAGTGGGAGAGACAAAGTGACACAGTATCACGCTCAAATGAGAGACAACACCCAAATATCCAAGAGTAGGCCACAGGAGAGGAGGAGGAAGAAGAAGAAGAAGAGAGGAGGAATCAGAGGCGAGAGACTTACACGATGTTCTTCTGATTTTTTTTAAATTTTGTTAATGAGTTCAGACAGCATACTCACGTGTGTAGAATAAGTAATATGTAACCTTATATTTGGGAAGTGTTAATATACGGTGTTGGGTATAGACATCAAAGCTGGGTGTTTAAATAACATTATTGTTATGCGAATTTAGCTTTGAAGTATTTCTCTTTGTGATTATCTTCTAGTCTAATGTCTTTCTTGTCTGAACGCACTGTAAATGTAAAAATTTTAAGAATTTAAAATATAGAGATTAAAGTTAAAATTAAAAAATATAAAATAAATTTAAATGATCTTATAAAATTATCTTAAAAATACTTTGAAAATTAAAAGATAAAATTGTTTATTCTTCCACCTTGTTTACAATACATTAAAATCAAAATATAGCCAGCATTACGGTCCGGAAAGAACGATCAAACAGGCCAAGAGGACTTATCAATTGGGCCTTGAAGTCCATTTACTCTTGAAAGGTGTCGTCACCAAAATTAACCCTTGCCGCCGAGAAACGTAACCAACAACCAAGAAGCGGAGCTTCAACAAGTTTGGTGACTCAACAACCCGAAAGCGCTTCAGCACCCTACAACAGAACTGTTACTAGTCTTGTCCGTCACCGCTTTGTTTCACCATTTGTTAAAGTTAATCATAATCATAACAATAAATAATAATAATCCATATTGCCGGAGACAACTGTGATCATTGCGCAATAGCGGAGCGTGGGTGGGTGGGAATATATGAATCCATTTCTTCTTCTTCTTTTTATCATTATTTTTTTGGGTGGCGGAAATTGAATAACGATCGCATCCATTCCATAAATAGCAATGGGTAAAAGGCAAACATTTCGGAGTAAAGCAGCCCACTTTGTTTCTGATCTCACCACTGTTCTTCTCAACCCTATTTCTGATTACAACAACAACAAACCCTCTCTCCCTCCTTCCGTAAGTTCTCTTATTATTATTATTATAATTTAATTCAATTCAATTCAATTTTATTAATCCTATGGGAATGGGACCTAGATTATAGGCTTAACTAATTGCAACATTATACTAGTTTTCTATAATTTATGAGATTGTTATTCAGGAAGAAGGCGAAGAAGAAGTGGGTGAGTCAAAGGGTGGTTTTGATGTAATTAATGGGCCTGATACGTCGTCGTTCACTGCGTTTCTCTATTCTTTGTTGACTTCCTCGGAGTGTGGGGATAACGTTGCTGAACTAGATGGGAAGAACGATGATGAGTCAGCAGGTGTTGTGAAGAGAACTTTGTTTTGTAGGGGTAGGCAATCATTGGGTAGAGCCATTCATCTAGCTACCAGAATGGGTGGATTTCGCAACAAGGATACTAGTTCCGAAAATGAAGAGCGGGGCGTTGAGATGAAGCGAATTAAGAAAGACCCTGTGCCTGCGCCTGAGGCTCATCATTTGCCTCAGATTTCTGAACCTTCAATGCTGATTTCGGATGATGTGAGGAATGCCGTGTATGCTTCGCTTCCGACTATTATTCATGGCCGCAAATGGCTATTGCTATACAGGTATATTTAAGGATGAAGATTTGTTGGCATTTGCCGGACACCAGATTTTGCTATTATCTGTTAAAGTTGCAAAATTTTGAATGTTGAGTAATGTTCTTACGTGTCCTCTTTGAATTTTTTGCAGCACTTGGAAGCATGGTATATCACTTTCAACTCTTTATAGGAGAAGCATGATTTGGCCCGGACTCAGTTTGCTGGTACTGTTTCGATGTCCTTGGGAAGATATCTATTTTGTGCCTGTATTTATGGTTTATCCATGTATGTTCTACAATTGAGATTTTATTTTTTAAAAAATACCATAAAGAAGTTAACAGTCAAATAAATATTTTTCCCTCCCTCTGAGTAGACTAATTGATGTCTGCTTGGACTTTTTTTTATTGGAAAATTAACTAGCTGGTTGAATTGGAGAGAGGTTCTGCATCATAGTTAATTTTGATTTACTTTATTTGTATGGATGAATGGCTGAGTTGAGTTTATTTTTAATCCCAACTGTTCTACACTTCTACTATTCCTGTTATGTTGATGCTCATAGTGTAGTTTGTATATCAAGTACAAAGTTTTGACTTTGTAATTAATAGTACTATAGTAGCATTTACTAGTTTAAGATGACTGCCATACCATGTCTGTAAACTTACTGGTTAAACACAAGTTTATGCAATCCAATTATACAGCCACATCTTGGAACTATGATATTTTACTATGGGTTGGCTTACTCTTATCTGGATTAGCAAAGATATGTGCATTATTGTGTCCTTTAATCAGCAAGACTAATTTCTGGTCTCTTCATTCTTGGATTGGTTCTCAATTTCAGCTATTTTGTTCCAGGTTGTTGGTGACCGTAAAGGAGCAGTGTTTGGTGGCATGGTTGAAGCTCCCCTTAGGCCATCCAACAAGAGAAAATATCAGGTCACATCTTATCTTTTCTGCCATCTAAAACTGTTGGGCATTAGCTGGTTCATTATTCGACAATGTTCATATATATGTGTGGTTGTATTTGTCTAGTTGACATTTAAATTTTCACAGGGAACAAACAATACATTTGTTTTCACAAACACCTCTGGTTGTCCTGTTATATATCGCCCAACAGGTATCTATTTTTTATCGTGTTTGAACAAACTGTTCTTTATCGTTCTTTTGCTGTTATCACTACACTGTATTTTGAGTGACATCAAAATCAGGGATTAATTGTTCTATTTATCGATAATTTGGATGGATAGATAAATGACTAAATTATTTTATTTTATATTTATATTTATCTCAAAAGCTATGTGGAATGAGAGAATCGAAGTTGATTTATTGGGATGAATAATGATAACAGTTTACTGACATATGGGTTCCCCGGGGGTTTTGTTGTACAGCTTTTAAAAATTATGCTACGAAGCATGTTGTATTTCAAAACAAATCTGTTTATTACCTCAGAATTTGGCTATATTTCATAACCCCCCACCCTTTTCCATTTTTTTTTTTAAATTAGGAAGGCTACATTTGTTGATAATCATAAGATTGTTTGACATCTTGCTTAAGGAAATGTATTGAGGAAGGCTTATTTTACTTTTCTTTACAGACAGTCACGCCAATATTTGCATGCTCCATGCGCTTATTTTTTTTGTCTGCAAGGTTTAATTTTAACTCGGTCTGAATGTCTTGTAAAAAATGATGAATTTTCTGGCATGTTTGACAATTTCCATAAAAACTTGGAAGTCTGATTTTCAATCTTCAAGCTGGTGATCAATCCAAAAAAGAAAAAGCAATTGATATACTCCTATTGTAATGACCCAGAAAAGTTTGATGCAATATTTTCTTTTGAGATTCAGCATCACTATGAAGCTTAAGTTTTGAGATGTGAAAAAGTTAAAATTACACACGTGTGAGCCTACCCGACCCCATGTAACATCTTAGCACTTGATCCACGTGATTGGCAGAAAATAAATATCTGGCTTGGTTTGGATTACCGTATACTTCTTTTCTCTTTACTAGCTATGCTGAATTGACCACATTATTGCAGGAGTAAACCGCTACTTCACACTTTGCACCACTGACTTTCTAGCAATTGGTGGGGGAGATCATTTTGCGCTTTATTTGGAGGGTGATCTGTAAGAACATCGTCTTTTCATTATGCCATCTTTTTTCCCCTCTTTCCTCAAACAAATCACTAGCCTGCCTTCTATAATATCATTGGCCTGAACTTATTTTCTTTATGATCTCCAAAATTTGACATATCTACCCAAGATCGACTGGGTCAAGCTCGGTTTCAGAAACTTATGGGAATCCTTGCCTTGCACATTCTCAAGAGTTCAAAGTGAAGGAAGTAGAGGTCAGATAAAGCTCCCCAACTTACATTAGTACCAGCTGATTAGTTGCCCATAAAAAATAGTAATTATAGATCCACTTACTTAAAAAAGAAAGAAAGAAAACTAATTAACAAATTTTCTTTCATCCATGCAGTTGTGGGGCTTTGTATATCCTTCAAAGTATGAGGAAATAGTGGCAATGAGCAGAACAGAGGCACCTGGGATTTGTCGCTGGTAAATATCTCCTAAAATGTGTCAAATGCCTTGCAGTTTGCATTTTACTGAATGGTCAAGCCGAGTCATAAAATGACAATTTCTGATAGAAAAGGATGCAAAGTCTATCGATAGACAGTATAACGAAGTAATCTTATGATTCCACTCATGTTACGATTGTGTAACATGCTTGTAAATATTTGCAAGGCTGTATATACAGTGTTCACCCCCATTATAAAATGGTCAATTTTGTGTTGTAAAAATTGGGGCAAATTTACGTGTTTGCATACTTAATTGAAGCAGATGAAGGAAAACAAAGGATAACCATGTGGCCCAAGTATTGTTTTAAGTTAGATATCATGGAGGCCTAGAACGGAAATTCCTTAGACGAAAGATGATGTCTTTTACATCCTGCGTAAAAGGTGTTCAGAAAGGATCTTTGATAGGCTGGACTATATCTATATCTACTGCTTCTGCTTCCTTATGTAGCTCCTGCTTATTACATAGTTTTCGTGGTGTATCAGCTGTCTGCACAACACACCAAGAACTCCTAGAATTGTTGCATCGTTATCGTTCTGCTCAGATGGTTGAACATAATTTAGATGTAGGTTAGCCAGGTATAAGTTTGACTACTCAGTTCTTTCTGCGGAAATAAAGAGGTAGCTTCTCCATGTACTCAAGGAAAAAAGGAAAAGGAAAAGAAAAAAGCTAGTTTCTCCTCAGTTTTCTGAAGAGCATGACAAAAATGAACAAATATCACCTCATTCAGCTTCATTCTTTTTCATACCACCGATCCAAACATGGTTAGTTAGCTTGCATCAGCATTGCGTATGTGAACTGGCCATTTATTGAAATGAAAAATGTATTTTATATATATATATAACTAAAGGGGGCCCAAGTCCAAGGTACACCCTATCAATGAGACTTTTTAAAATAAGCTATGGCTAGCCTTTAGGTCTCAACTGATAATGGCGCTGTGTTCTTTAAAGGCAAGCTACACAGCTGTACACAATATCACTGATGTTCCTTCTTGCCTGTACAATATGCGCCAGTCACCCCCACCCCCCACAAAAGAAAGGAAAATATTTGAGAAGTCATTCAAGACATACATGATGCAATTGCACGATTATGCCAGAAAGATAGGGACAGGGAATAGGCATAACTATTAGGCATGCCGTATTAGTGGATACACCCTTTTCGTTTGGATTCATCATCAAATGCACTCTCAAGATCTACTGATATCCTTCCATGATCAGCTTTGTCTGCCCAATTGGACATAAAGTTCGTGCCGCTGAAGAAAAAAGGCAAGAAGATTAAGGACTCAATTGTTTGATTAAATAAGGGAAAAAATTGTCATAATCATCATTAATAATAATAATAATAAATTGTATATATTAAAAAAATGAAATATAACGTGAAATATCTATATATTATTATTATTGAAAAATAAACTTTACTAAAGAAGACTAAAATAAAGAAATAAAACGTTCAATATTGATAAAAAAAATTATGAAAATAAACATTTAAATCAAAACACAACATTAAACCATGTGTCAAAAATCAAAATTTAAAATTTAATTAAATTAATAATATTTTTAAAAATATACAAAAAGAAAGTGAGATACTTACTGTCAAAAAAGTTGTGGGATTTAATAAGGAAAAAATAGATCATAAAAGTTTTCCCAGTCAAGTGCTCAAATTTAATGTATAAGATTAATAATATTTATTAAGTTTGGTTATGAAAAAAAGCAAGGCTATTATGTACAAATAAAAAGCAATGATAATAATGATAACAATAATAAATAAATGATAGAAAAGTCTTGCAACATTATAATATATTCATCTATATGAAAAAATTATGAATACTGAACTAGTTATGCATTTATTGAAAAAAATTAGTTCATTATATATAATAATAAAAAATATTATTGTTGAAATTAATATATTAACTATATTGTTGTTGAAATTGTAAGGTTGAAAGATAAACTCGAAGAAAAAAAATTCAAAAATATCATATTATTTTATAATGATGTATTTTACATTTAACATTTATAACCATCAATATAATCACACTACATTTTAAAGTTTTATCTATTTTAGAATGGATCACTATCTACATAAGTAATGAAAATAAAAACAATTAATTTTATTTATATTAAGATTGTAATGTTAAAAATGTAGTAGATATAAGGGATATTACTTTTTATGATAGGTAAATACTGTAATTAATATTTAAAACCATTTAAAAATGTCGAGAATAACAATGTGTAATTTGCGTTCACAGTTATTATAATAGATAAATAAGTGCAATAGATATTTTAGATAAATGAAAACTTAAAAATTGAGGATGATTAATCATTATAATTTATAGAAACAATAAATATTTTATCACTTTAAAAAAACTTATATATAAATGACATGAAACACTAACTTTACTCCTATTTGCTATGTATTTATGCAGACCGCACTTACGCATACTTTATATAATGAGAAGTAAATAGATGAACAATATATAGAGTTAGACTTCTTGTCATTTCTCACATTCAACAGAAAATAATTTAATAATCATAAAGTGAAAGTACATTTTAAATAATAATAAAAATTCAGTAATATCATTAAAATGAAATAAATTTATAAAGCTTCATTTTTTCCCCATATGCTGAATTGGATCCTCTCCTGAAACAGTAATGGTCACGCAACGATGTCGTTTAGTGGCAGGCATGGCAAGTAACGTATCAGTCGTCGTTTACGGCCGTTATGTGGAGTTATATATGTGTTCATCGTGGAACCGGAGAATCGAAATCGGAAGAATCAGAATTGTGAAGCCCTGAATGGCGCCACCGACAGCGAAGTCGAGAGGGGCCACTCAGGGGATGAATGCAAGGATTTACTTCTATTCCATTCTCCTCGCTCTTCAATATGGTGCTCAACCTTTGATCTCCAAACGCTTCATCAGGTTTTTCTTTTTCCTTTTTCAACCATTTTCCTTCACTATTTCATTTCTATACTTGGTTTTCTTCTCTTCTTTTGCTGTCTTCTTCTTGATTCGCCATATAATTGCAGTTATAGTTATTGTAGCCAGTTGCTCAACCATTTATCGCCTTTTTTAAAAATAAATAGAATAAAATAAAATTGAAATCCTGGACACGAATTTAGTAGTCTTTTTTTTCTAAGCATAGGAAATAATCACTATTTTATTTATAGTTAGGGGAATTAATTATCTTCCCTTCGATCTATGCTGTGGTTGTTGGTGAGATTGGTCAGTCTTTGGAGAATTAGAATTACAAGATTGACGTAATTGAACTAGCTAAGATAAATATTGAACTATATCAAAGTCTGCTCTTGCAAGGGTGGCAGTGTGGAGGATATGCAATATCAGTGAAAGAAAACAAAATGGGAAAACAAAGGAAAAGAAAAGGTGTCTAAACATTAGAAGAAATTCAGTTGAACAAGTATAAAGTACAACAGAAGAATAAATCGTTTTATAAATCTGCATGTGAATTTATGCCTTCCTTTTATATTTATGCTTAGACATATGGTGGTGGAAGGACTACTTAATTTGGTGCATGGCTTTTGACGCCATGGATATGCTTTTGATACCAGTATAGTAATCATCATGAAGTGTGTCTATGCTTCCCCTTTTAACTCAGATTAAAAATAATGTCCATGGGAGTTGTGAACTGATTTTGGAATCATTTAAGTCTTTCATTTCCTTGTGCATTAAACCATTAATTAACATGTTAATTGTGAATGACCGTGGGAAGCATTCAAGCATCTTAACATATTTTCCCCTCTCCCCGCAGGCGTGAAGTCATCGTGACTTCATCAGTTTTGGCATGTGAGATTGCGAAGGTAGCTCTTGAACTGTACTACATAGTTGTGGCATGCCTTGTTATAAAACCTGTGCCATACCTTGCTTTTCTTATTCTTTCTAGGGAATATTCATATATCTCTGTAATCTGCCTTTTAGGTTATATGTGCAGTGTTTTTCATGGCGAAAGAAGGTAGTCTAAAGAGAGTGTATAAAGAGTGGACTTTGGTTGGTGCATTGACTGCATCCGGCCTTCCTGCAGCTATATATGCTTTGCAAAATAGTTTGTTGCAAATTTCTTACAAGAATCTTGATTCGCTCACATTCTCAATGCTGAATCAGACAAAAATATTTTTCACCGCATTCTTTACATATTTCATATTGAGGTATGTTCCTACAATTGCAATTGTTAATATTTTTGCTATTTCTGACAAAACCCATTTGTTCCCATATGCGAGAGTGGATAGGCTAAACTGTTATCTATGTTTGTGAAGCAAATGGTTTCCCTCAATAGCTGTTGTGTGTCAGTATAAAAAACTAAAAAAAAAAGTAATTTGTTTTGTGGAGCAGGAGTCATCCCAGTTTCTTTTGTTTTTTTGCTGGCAAATGTATAATTTTGGTGTTGTTTAGGTATGTTTTCATTGTGCCTAGTGATATTCCTGCAGTCCATGAGCTGGTTGAGGTGATACATGTGTAGTTTGGTGTTTTCCAGAACTTTAACAGTTTGGTGATATTCTCTTCTTGTCTTTTCTGTGTTTGGATGGTTCAAGATCTTCTAATTTGCTGGGTTTCTTTTCCTTTTTTTGGTGATAGCTTCTGTTAAAATGGTTGTGTTTATTTTTGTTTTGTTTGCTGCTTGTAACAAGCTAAATCTTAGTGTTATAAGGTTATTAGCTTGAGGGTTTGGTTTTAGAAATTAAGATTATAAGGTTATTAGCTTTCTTGTTGGTGTGGGCTTGGCCTTACTCTAATAGTACCAGTAAATGATGTAATTATTATTATAAATAGAACTATTGGGTTAGGGGTTTGTAAAAGATTACATCCGTCAATCATACTTTCATAAACTGTTAGCCATTGGAATCTCTTTTACATCTTCTCTAACCCTAATCTATAAGGCTAACACTGTAACACTACAAGGCATCTTATAATGGTTCTTGCAGGCAAAAACAATCGATTCAGCAGATTGGGGCCTTGTTCTTGTTAATAGTTGCTGCAGTTCTGTTAAGTGTTGGTGAAGGCTCTAGCAAAGGTTCTACAAGTGGTAATGCTGATCAAATTTTATTCTATGGAATTATTCCTGTATTAGTTGCTTCAGTGCTCTCTGGACTGGCCTCTTCCTTGTGTCAATGGGCCTCTCAGGTAACCAGTACTTTTGAGTTTTCTGTTCAAAATTATATTTCCTAGATTGATGTATATTAATATTTATCCCATGGATTCCTTCTTTATCACAGGTTAAGAAACACTCATCATACTTGATGACTATAGAAATGTCTATTGTTGGAAGTCTATGTTTGCTTACTAGTACTTTGAAATCTCCAGATGGGGAAGCTATGAGACAACATGGATTTTTTTATGGTTGGACTCCTCTAACTTTGGTAATGTTCTTACCACTATATATCTTTTGCAATATAAGTATTAGAGCTTTTAGATTGTTGTCATGCTTATGTGTATAGAAAAGGCAATACAACCCCCAAAACAGATTAGATATAGAAAACTGAAAGGTTCAAATTTGGGTATTCAGCTGTTTGTGCCAAGCACATGCTTTTATACATGTAAATTTGGACTAGTGCTTTTTCAGATCCAGATCAGTAACAGCTGTTGGAATATCTCCTAATATCAGTACTATGTCTCTTAGAATTATTTAGAATATGTACTAATATCTAGATTGTGTCCTAGAATACTTTAGGGTATCTTGTAGATTATCTCTTACTCTTAGGACTAGTTTTTCCATTTTCTTAGTTTCCATATTTCCTAATATCTCATGTTTTGCTTCATTATTTAGTAAGGATTGTGATTAGTATAAATAAAAGTTAGTGCCTTAGGTTTATGAACAACAATATCATGTTGCAATACATCACAAATGAATGTTATTTGTTATCTCTTTTCTTTCTGTTCTCTCCTTCTATATACCTAAAATCCAACATGGTATTATTGCGGTACCATCCTCCATAACCTTTACCATCACAACTCCATGGTTCCCATACATTCTAGTTGATGACAAATCTGTAATTATCTGTTCTGGCCATTTTTATCCATATGCAACAGTGATTGTGCCTTTAATAGACGTTGTTGTACATCAACCTAAAAAAGTTACGTATTGTTTATTCATGTCAGATCCCTGTAATTTTCAATGCCCTTGGCGGAATCCTTGTTGGTTTAGTTACAAGCCAAGCTGGTGGTGTTCGGAAGGTTAGTTCAACTTTGTGAATTATTACTAAATGACTTTTGAGATGCGCTATCCTCAGATGACAGATAAAACAGTAATCAGATGGTAGTCAGTCCTTACTGTTAGTTTGCAACGTTCCTAAATCATGTATCAGTTGGTTAATTAGTGGAAATAGATTGTATGCATTTGATGCTTTTAACATATGTTTTAGCTTTACAATGGCTCTTGGGGGATTTAATCTAAATTCTAATATACATTATTAATGTTGATCAAGAGAATGGGTAGGGCAGCGGAGGCAGTAACTACCCAAATTTTTTATACTTAGTAATTGCTTAGTTTGATACTGGACAAACATTAAAATTACTGGGGAACCTAGGAGTTGCTGGATCACGGCAATTCAATGACTTTCAAAATCATTCTATAGGGAGTATTGGGGTATAGAAACTTTTCATAATTTCTGTTGAATACAAATGTACTTACGGTGGCATTCGTTCTGTGGTTGCAGGGGTTTGTCATTGTTTCTGCTTTACTCATTACAGCATTGTTACAGTTTATTTTTGACGGAAAGCCGCCTTCATTGTATTGCCTTGTGGCTCTTCCGCTAGTGGTCAGTAGCATTTCAATATACCAGAAATACCCCTACCAGGTTAAGAAGAAGGAATCATAAAATCTGGCCGCTATCATAAGGGGAAGTTATTTCATTAGTTCCCCCGCTGAAACTACTTTGGTGTTAATCTAGAATATTTTAGCATAGTGTAAATGATAGAACATTGAAGGCAAGCATTCTTTTCAACGTCTTATCAATCTCAATAGAATTAGGGTGTTATACAGAGCTTTTTTTTTTTCTTTACTATTCTGGAATTTGAGTGAGGCATTTATTTGTCTCCTTTTCAGTGCGTGGATAGCAGGATTTCAGTTTGAAATTTATATTGTAGTGGACAATGCGTGGATCACCTTTGGTGATGATGAAACTAACGCAGAAAACGTTTATTGTATTTTAATGACTTAATCCTTCATCTCTGATGAACTGAAACATTACGAATGTCGACCCTTTCGCTTTGAATAACAAACACTAAAAATTTCTATTAGTCCCGGAAACACGGGAATTTAAACTTATCTCGTACCTTGTAACGTGTATTGTATCTTGTGTATTATGTATTTTTAACCATCAATTGGTGTAATTCTGTTTCCCGGAAGCTAAAACGACGATGCTAGTGACTTGTTATGGGAATGTCTGTAGACTTCAGTGTGCATCTTAAATATTCTAGTCGTAATTTACGGTTACAATTTTAAATTTTTTTAATATTAATATTAATGTATGAATTCATATACCGAAATATGAATTACAAACTTTTGTAAGATAAACTTTGGCATACACATCTATGACTTGTGTTTATAATTTTCTGAAAATGCAAATAATATGCTTATTGGAAGGTGTTTGATAATCGTTTCAAATTTTTAAATCAGCACAATAAAATAAAATAATAATCTAACAAACTATTAATCGAAAAAATAAAAAATTTATATTTTTATTTAGTTTGGTTAAATTTTTTATTTTCATATTTAAAACTGAAACAAATCACAAAGCATACTAATATTAGTTTCTTTTGGTAAAGATACTAACTTATATAAATTTGATAAAATAATCATGTCATTAAGATAAAAAGGTCGCATGAAAAAGTAAAAATATTTGCAACACATGTTATTAGGATAAAAATGAATGAATAAAAAATAAAAAATAGATACAGAAATACATAAAATAAAATAAGTTAATAAAACTAATATATAAAAAAAATGAAAAAAATTGATGAGAAACAAGTGGGATTAGCTTTACTTTTGGGCAAAGCTAACAAATCATAAACAAAAAAAAGAGTCAGACAAAATAAGGAGGCAGACTTGCTAGGCAGAGGAAGAGGGTTTTGGGCGTTGGCAGGGTTTAAGGAAGCGGAGAGAGAGAGAGAGAGAGAGAGAGAGAGAGAGAGAGAGATTGATTAAATTTGCGAGCAAATTGTTCCAAAATCAATGGCACATATCGCTAACCTTCCCATTATGCCACTGATGCCCACCACTTCCTCACCCGATATCAAAGAAATCGCCTTTAAGACCGCACCTTCTGCTTCCAAGCTCGAAATCAAGCACGTCCTCCAAACCTTCTATGGCTTGGAGGTCCAAAAGGTTCGAACTTTGAACATGAAGGGCAAGAAGAAACATCGCTTGGTCGCAAAACCCGATTACAAGAAGGCCTATGTCACGCTCAAGAAACCACTTTCCTTTTCCCAAGACCTTTACCCCTTTCGTCCCAACCCCACTATCCTCGAGGACACTAAGAACAAGAAGGTGTTGGCTACTCAATTTTAGTTGCTAGTTTCAGGGGACGTGTTGGTTTCAATATTCTGTTATTATGTTGTTCACTTTCTTTTTTATGGTTCCATTTTGGCATGGAAAACATAGGATGGTCCAGTGATTTATTGGAGTTTATTGATCTATCAGGATTATTCTGTTTGTTGATGAATAAGATTTTTTACTTTTGATACGTTGCGTCTATTTTTTACTTGGTGCTAAAAATGCCATTCCTATAGGTAATAATAATTAATGCTCTTAGGCATTATATGTCTGTCAAAAATGGACTGTTGACGTAAATCTAAGTAACTCTGTAATACACTGTGCTTGTTCTAAGAAATGGCATCAATTGGTCTTAGTTTATCAACTTCGTTTTAGATCCAAATATGGTGTATATAAGCTTTAGAAAATGTACTATCCAAGGTCGAAGGTTGTGGTAGTGATATTTTTTCCATTTTAATTCAACATTGATGTTTAAAAGGAGAAATTACTCTATTTTAAAAAAGAAATAAGAAGTTAAATTAGTATGATTTATTTTACCCATGTATGAGTGGTAAAATAATATTGTAAAACCCAGAATTTGGGTGTGGAAGTTTGAAGGCTGTGTGTAGTTTTGTTGTTTGCTATAAACATTAAGAATCTCGTGATAATGAATTGCTATAAACAGTACGACTATGATGATTCCAAGAATCTTTGTTTATGAAATGGTTGAGTGCTCGGCTGATAGATGGATCTCGCTAATCACTAAACTGGTGTGAGTAAGGATCCTAATTAAAATCTGATTATAAGTTCACTCCTACAAATATTGTTTCCTCTCAAGTTGTATTTTCTGCAATGCTAGAGCATTTTGGTTCCCCCTTTGTCTGTCTTTTATGGATCATTGCTGAAATTTTAAGTTGATGTTCAATCAGCTGTATTTTCTTGGGATTCACGAGCTTCTATCAGCAATCTAGTCACTTATTCATTTTCTTCTTAGGTACGTATCCTTGCATTTAGATGCCTTTGTCTGTATATGGAAACTACAGCCTGCAAGGAACTTTTCTGTGTTGAAGTGAACAATATCTTAAGATACAAAATTTAGACTATACGCTTCATATAAAAAATGGCTAGGTAGGTGCTTTTACTACAGATTTTTTTTTATGTTAAAAAATGGAATACTTTAAGACATGGAGAGCCTTCTTCTAGGGGTTCCTCTACGTAGAGTGGTATTTGGTGATTTGGGTGAATCCTTTCTGTCTCCAATGTCAACTCCAGTTGGTTTTATATGAAGGGAATTCTTAATCTTCCGCCAATTTAAAGTCCAGCCTGATGAATTCTTTGGCTTGTTGCTTAACTTTTCATATTCCTGTTGTAATTCAAAATAGTCATTCTGCAGTTCTACCATTTTGGACTTTACACTCTCTAGTTCTGCTTTGAGTGCTTTAATGTCCATAGTTGCGGATGTCTGGTTTCCTTCCTGTTCAGATTGGATTCCACTTTGTGCTGGCTCCTTTTCTTGCATTGCTGCTCTCATCTTTATTTGCTCTGAAAATAGAACCTGCATGTCTTGTATACTTTAGTTCAGGTGGCAACTTTTAAGCTGGATCACCACTTTTATCATATTAGCTCTACAAATGCTATGTGATTTTAACTATCATCTGTTATGCTGCTTCTATGTGATCCTTCTTTGCTTCCAAAATAGTTTATTCTTTCATTAAGTTTTTCATACCCCTATATTCCATTAGTATTTTGGGATTTCCTTCTGAAAGTTAAAGTAAAAAGTCTGTAAAGTTCCAGTTATTACTGCATTGATTATTGAATATCATTTATCCTAATTAGTTCAAATGTTTAGTTTGGTTGTGTTTTTTGATGGCCTTTTTAAAGGATGCTGCTAAATCTGAATTGTTATATGATCATCCTATTATTTTGTGCATGTGTGAGTGGAATCTGAAATTCTTAAAACTGTGGTTAATGTTAATTTCTTAAATTATCAATATGAAGTTGAAATAGTTTAAAAATAGGTTCCACAGATCCAGCTGCAAACTTTACCTGGACAACAGTTCTTAGAGGCAATCTCTCGTTTTGTGCAGCATGCATGCATGCATCAAGTGAGAGTTTTTCGCAGTTCATTATTTTGCAGAGTCTTCTACGGTCATGTTCAGTCAGTGAAGGATGGGTCTGGAGAGATATCAATATCAGAATGTCAAAACTTTCTTTTGCAACACTAAAAAGGAAACTGAAACACAGGAAAATGATAATTAGAAGGACAACCTTGAGGTAGGTGTCAATGGCTCTATATAAACCATCATCATATGATCGAGTATTTTCAGGTAGCAATTCAGCTAAAACTTGGAACTTAGTAATTGAAAGATTTGGATCTCTTGCAATTTCAGCTAGGTAGTTGTCCAAGAGCCTACTGATATTGAATTTCCTAGACTTTTGTTGATGTTGCGTCTGCTGTTGTTCATGCATCAAGAAGTATTCAATAATTCGTTGCACTACATCTATGTCTTGCATGGTGCATTCTTCAGAGGTATTAGTCGTGCTAGTGAAGAGGGGGAATAGGAAAAGAAAAATTAGTATCACAGGTCATTTTCATCAACTTTTGGGTTCTTTATGTTTTTTTGGTTTAGAGGGTTGCCAATTCTAGAGGGAGAGAGAGAGTTGAGGCATACTCACTTGACCGTTTTTCCTTGATCTCCATTTTGATATCTTGGAATTAGAAGATCATTCACCTCAGCATCTTCCAACACCATACTCACCCTCTTTTCAAGATCTGTTGTGAGAGCTGGTGATACAGAATACATCATGGCCATCTTTAACATCCGCAACAGGAACTTACATGAGACTGCTTCTTGTTGAGCAGGAATAATGCTTATTAGGCTTTCAATAATAGCCCTTTGCTCCTTGCTGTGTCCAGTGCTTTCTTTCTTCTTCCCACTAAAAATACTGAACTGTAGGTTACTCTTTTCATGCCCATACCCTCTTAACCCTTCTAACTCCACATCCATTCCAGGTAGCCATCTCTTGGCATATTGCATGATACATTTACCAATGGTCTCTTGCTTGGTTCCTTTTGCCCTTATTGCTGAAATGATCCTCATAAAATGATCAATGCGGAAGGTGGCCACATCATTGAACCACCAACTTTCTTGATTAGTTGTTGCATCCTCACTTGTTGGCTCATCTTTAGAAGCCTTCCATGCAATGGAATCACAACATCTCCTTACAATTTGGAGATTCTCAGCCCATGGAGATAGGTTTTCACAAGATTTGAGAACAGTGATGGTGTCTTTCCATGAAGAAAGCACAACAAAGGTGAGGAAAGCTTCAGTCTTCGAAATGAGGTTTCCATCTTCTAATTCTTCAGTCATCTCTAGGAATTCTGATGCACATCTTAGTGCAGCTATGTTGTCTGGACTGAAGTCTATAGGGAGGCCATAACAGAACTTCAGAATTGTTTCAAATGTTTCAGACCCACCTGGGAAATTTTCGAGCTTGAGAGCATTGCCAGAATTTGAGATCAAAGGCTGAACTTCCAATCGTCCTATGTAGCCGCATTTTGATATCAAGGGGTACTGTTACAAAAAAGTAAGCCAACGTACGTAATGATTAAGTTGCTGAGGTGTTGGTTTCTTTTTTATTTTCAATTTCAGATGACCCATTTTTATTACAAATTTGAGACTTTATTTTAATTACGTTTTTTGCTTTTAAGATTTTATTTTGAGGAAATAGTAAAAGCAGCATTTTGTTATTTTCACTATTTTCTTTATAATATCTTAAAAACATAAAATAGAATAAAAAAGATTGTGTCATTTTTTATATAACTATCAGTGAAAACATCAGTTTAAAATGTTGTAGGAAACAAAAACAACACATATCATATCTAATGTTGTGTTCTCACTAACTTATTTACCCCTATCCAAAAAGGTTAAAAAAAAAAAGAAAACACGTGCACCCGCAAATACACTCACCAAAAAGAATAGTAACGAGTGGTTCTTACGCCCCCTATGATAGAATTATGCTCTATAGTCTACACCAGTCAGTGTCACTCGTTGAGATGAGAGTCTGGTAATAAATACCAAAACCAATGGACAGTGTTATCATTTTCAGGTGATTTTATCATATACACTAAACCAATCTAGAGGGAAAGGTCAATGAGTTTCAGCATTAACAAGGTTTTATTTATGTTAACGGAATTTGTCTAATACCTTGTGAACATTATAAGTGGTTTCCTGGACTTGAATTGAAAAGTCTGATGGGATTTGAGGAGCAATGAACCTGCACAAGCCCAAACCAGAAAAGAAATATAAAGAGGAAAAAGAAAACACACAGAAACAAAGAAGTAGTAGAGTTTTAATTTAACGAATACGAAATAGGAAGAGAAAATAAGAGGGGTGGGGGAGTACCATGCAAATTTAAATTTGTTTAGACATGTAGATATTGTTACTACTTACAACTGGTTTTTAGATGCTTAATCTATAAAAGATCCTATTCTACAAGTACCATGAATGTTCCCCTTTGAAGCTATCAGCTATTGTGATGAGTTTGTTGGGAATTACAATGCTTTTGTCTGAAACTTGATCTATTCTATCAGTGGGACTCCCTGGGTCTTGTGCTACTTGAAGACTCTTCATGATGATTCTTTAGCTAACTACAGTAAGCTTATTCCAATATGATGACTAAATGATATAAGAGGCCCAAGGTGTTGTCTAAATTAATGCTGAAAATTGGTTTTGTGGTCAGAGTAGGGCTGTAATTAAGACGGTTGGTGGGTTGTTTCTTTCCTTCTAGGCTTAGCTATCAACTTTGATGAAAAATTCTGTTGAGCAAATGTTTTTGAGTTAAGTGGCTTTATTTTATTTTACTTTTTTCCCCTAACATTAAATTATTTGTATATTTATGATTTTGTAATTGACCCAACATTTATATTCGATTACAATTAAGTAATGCTTTAAAAATATTAGTTAAGAAAACTAATTTTTTTTTGTTAAAAATTACTTTATAAGTGTATAAAAAATTATTATGAAAGTATATTAATAATATTTTCTTTTAATTATTTCTTATAGAAACTAATTAACATTTTTTTTAAAATTACTACCCCTATCCTAAATTTTAAATGTACCATAGCTATGGAATTGCAAAGTTATTTTAACAATACTTTTTAAGGATTACATTTTTCTGCTCCCATCTTGTATTTTTACCTAAATTATATTATTCGTATAATACTTTTTATAACATTGTTAGTGTTTCTTTATTTCTATCAACTACGTCAATTATTTCATCACGCGCTTCTTTCTTTCTTTTTAATTGTATAAAAGACTATATAAATGTAATTTGTTTTTTACGCCCACCCAAAGAAAATAATGATATAAAAGTCTTTGTTTTTAAGGATTCTCTCTCTGTCACATTTCTATATTTTATAACATCTATAGTGATTATTAAAAGGATTTGGGCCATAATTTGTCCCCCTTTAACCCCTACAAAGTGTGAAGTGCTCGCCCACTTGTGGCTCATAGCTAATTGTACGTCTATTTGGTTTTTGTGGCAATTCAATTTCTTCTACACATCGACCCAAAAAATAACCAATTCTTCTACACGATTTTTGGGGTAAAAGTAACGCGTATGAAATCATAAACTCGTAATTCTTAGTTCTTTGTGCACGTTTTCGAAAATGAGCTACTTGAACTCTAAACTGACACATTCAAAGAAATGTCATTTACATTCAATTATTTGTGAAGTATGTTCATTCCAAATTTAGATGAAAATGCATTATCAATGTAAATGTATTCATTCCTTTTTGTTTAATTTTTCAATTAAAAGTCATTAATTTAAAATAAGAAATTGCTAGTAGACACAAAAAAATGTGAACGAACAATCGCACAAATTTTCTTACCCAAATTCCATACCTTTTCATCATGATTATAAACTATTAGGCTTGACCATTACTCATTAGATTTTACACAAATTATATATACTTTTAAAAACTTTATGTGAATAGAAGCTGTAATGGCACTTAAATAGTAGTTCACTTTTGGCTTGAGATTCTGCTTTTCTGCAAAGTATGGTGCAGATCAGAGTGAGCCTCCCTTGAGGCCGTTTACTTTAAGCCACTGAAATTATTCCCTTTGTTCTTCACTGTGCCAAAAGAAAAACTATAACTTTTGGTTTGTTTTTATATTAATAACTTATCTTTTGAACATTAAATTGATGGTTCTGAAAATCGTACGCTGAAAAAAATGGGAGTTATTTACTCCATAAAATAACCTCCGGTCTCGTGTACTGTTTTCTTTTTTTGTTGGCTAAATAAAAAATGAATGCATTGTTTAGTTTAGAGTTTTTGACCAGATATTGTTTTTAAATTTATTCATAAAAAATATTAATATAGGATGAATTTAGACTTGTTAGCAACTAATGTAGTTCATATGACTTCTTGTAAGACATCATGGAATTAACGTCGCTTTTAATAAAAATATATATAAATATTCTCACGCGATAATGTACGGTGAATGACATTATTTTATGATAAGTTTTTACTTGGAGTAATAGGACTCAACATAGACTTGCATCATTTCCTAAACGTACATACGTGACAATAGACGTACGTTGTCCTACACAAGATACTAAAATGCATGCTCTTAAGTTTTTAGTAAAAAGATTAATTAAATTCTTTTATATCATGTATTCTTCACATGAAAATAATGTTCTCATCAAATATACAATTTTTCTATTATTTTAACTAGAAAATTATCAAATTAATTAAGAATACCAACTGTTATTAGACAATGTAGTAGATATTATATAAATACCAAAAAAAAATTTTTTTAATATAATCATCGTTGGTAGAGAGTTGATTAAGTTTGAAAATAAAAGAGTTGAATTACTAAATAAATAGTTTGATATTGTTTAAATAATGTCTCAATTTCAAGTTTTTATGTGTATAAAAAAATTTCAGTGATAGACTCACGCACCACATTTAGGTGCGCGATTCTAGTCAAATCTGAATTAAATCAGATAAAAAATAAAAAAAATTAAATTAATTAAATTAGTCAAAAAAAATTAATTAATCTAACTTAACCAAATCAATCAAATTTAGATTGAATTATGTTATCGAAGTAGTATTTAAATTTGTTAAAATTTTAACTAACCTAAATTAGAGGCTTAGCTTTAAGGGACATGCAATTGATATCTTGCTTTAGGTTCTAAGAAAATATCATAGTAAAGTAATTTTTTTAAAATGAGTCCACCATCTTATAATTAAAACACATTCTCAATAATTAGATGAAATATATTAAAAATTATGAATAAAATTTATTAAATTAGAAGGGAGATCTACATAATCTTTTTAACAAGTTTAATTAATAATAAAAGGTGTACTAAAAATTTGTTATTAATTTTAATAAATTAAATCAATTTAGCCCTACTTAATTAAATTTAATCATTTTTTTTTGTCTAACTTATTTCAATTCAATATGTAATTAGTCGTATCGAAGGTTCATTGTTTAGATTGAAACACATGGTAATACTTATAAGTTTTTGTTAAAATAACCTTTAATATAATCATGTTTTTTTTTTTTCAAACTCAATTATTATGAACCTTTCCTATTCAGTTTAAGAGAAATGAGATAGAATTAATTTATTATTTATTAATCTTATTATTTAATCCATTTCCTACACAACAAAAATAAAAATCTTCATTTTATTTTATTTCATCTCACCTCACATCTCATTTAATTAATACACGCATAAGTTACATGTATTTTACTATTTTTACCGTTTTCATATCCATTTAGCAAGTTGATCATTGACCTACCAATTTTAGCTTGTTTGCTAAACTTACACGATCAAGGCACATTTTTTAATAAAAGAAAATAAATTTTCTTCCACCAAACGGTTCTTTAAGATATTTGAAAAGCCAAAATAAGATACTATTTTTTAATTTATTTAACTAGTATAAATAATTTTTTGTGCCACAACTGTTCTTTTTTAAACTATTTTTTAGTCAAATTTGTTTGAACCAAATCAAATAATTATTTGACAAAATTTTATTTTGAATATTTAATATAATTATATTAAAATTTAAATTCGAGATCATATATTAAATTAAACAATTTCTTGTTGATTAATCAACATGCAAGGTCTCTTAAACTCTTTATAAGTGTTAAAGAATATTTGCATAATTTGAATAAAGAGAACAAGCGACAAATCAACAAAATGATATGCTTCATGATACTATGCATTATATATACACTAAATATTATAGACATAAGGAGTAATATACGAGTGAATTTGGAATTTTTGGGAAGGGGTGAGGAAACGTGACAATTGAGAGGTGATGGAAAATTCGCGTGATGCGGTCCTCAACGTGGTTGGCGGTTTCCATTCCCATATATATAAAAGACATTGCACTCCAAATAACGTTGCATTTGCATTTACTCTTCATTCATTTGTTCTCTCTCTGTGTGTGTGCGTGTTTATTGCGAGAAGAGAATTCGGAAGATTCAGATCCGCGTTTCTGAGAGAGAAGAATAAGAAAGGATTTGTCAGAAATGGCGACGGTGTCCCCTCTCGCCAAATACAAGCTCGTTTTCTTGGGCGATCAATCTGTTGGCAAAACCAGCATCATCACTCGCTTCATGTACGACAAATTCGACACCACCTATCAGGTCTCCATTCACTCTCAAACGCCGTGTCGTTTCCTTCACCGTAACGAAATTGATTTTGATTTCCCGTTGATCTTTTTTTCTTTTTTCTATCTCTCGGATAAGGCACTTACGACATGTGTTTTATATGCTTACGTGATTTCGCGTGAATTAATCTGAGGTAATAGCATCACGATATATGTAGTGTTTTTTAATAGATCACTTCGTTTGGGAAATGAGTTCCGCGATAATTTTTGCTGTGATGGAATTTCTTAAGGCGTTTTGATCAATAATCGCACGTGATTAATTAGAACATGAGAGGATCAGGAGGAGATGGATATTTTGCAAAATGCAATGTGCTCTGCTCTGAGAGATATTTTTGCTCTGAATTTTGTGGGTATCTGAACTATATGACTGTTTCATTTTATTCCTTGCAATCTCGGATGAGAAAACAAATATTGAGGGACAAGTTTTTCTTGTAATTTTTCTGTTGAAACTCATCCCTCTGTTTTTCACTCACATTTTCAAGGGAAAGCCGTGGTGGCGAGTAGGAATTATGTCAAAATTGTTCGAAAATTCATTGTCGCGTTAGCAATTTTTGGAAATCAGGACCGCATTTTGTGTTGTTGAAATGCTAGAATGGGAAGAAGAGCTTGTTTTAGTTGCTGAGACAACATTTTTCAAGGTCTTGATTATTATAATTGCGTTGATTTTTAAGAGGCATGGTCTTATGAAGGTTCCGACATTTTTTAGCTCTTTATGTTTATGTTCGTTATCATGTAAGAGATAACTTAAATTTGAGGCTTGTTTTCTTTTCAAGTCTTTTGTTTTTCACCATTTCTCATTTTTTTTCCTTTCTTGCTGCTACTTTGGTCGCTGACAATTTTTTTTATGGGGTCATTTAATTTTCAGGCTACTATTGGTATTGACTTTTTGTCAAAAACAATGTATCTTGAAGACAGAACTGTTCGTTTGCAGCTTTGGTAGGATGAGTTCCTTTTCAAATATCTATTAGCACGGTCTATGTATATTTGCTTATTTATTTTTCAGAAGTCATATGAGAGCAAATATATCTGGTGGTATAGCCTTTTTTTATTTCACCTGTTCTTATTACTATTTCTGAGCTTGGTATATTTTTACTTCACAGGGATACTGCAGGGCAAGAAAGATTTAGAAGTCTCATTCCAAGCTACATAAGAGATTCTTCTGTTGCAGTTATTGTATATGACGTTGCTAGTGAGTTTTATATGTATTTCTTTGTACCACTTCCATCATCTAATTAACACGCTCTTTTCTGGATCTTTACTGGTTTTCTTGTGACATAAGTTTTCTATGTGTGTTCGCTTCCACGTCGATTTTCATACACATGCATTTTCTTCAACACCGTCAAGTGTAGCTTTTGCAATTAACGTGAGTTTAAGGCCAATTGGACACGAGTCCACGCATAGGCTAGGTTATTTGATCATGTTACCCAGCAAAAAAGGTTTTGTAGTGTATGAATGCATTCTTTAATGCATACAAGTGTTTGAGTCACTGTTAGTATCTTATTTTTCTTAAATACATTATGTTGTTACAACTTATGGAAATATCTTTGCCCTTTCCTGTGTGTGTACCTGCTTGCATGCAACCCTGTTCTCTTGAATTTTTTTTTTATCTTAACTGTGTTTGCATATGTGGTTTTGAAGTGCTTTAGTGTTGTTTTTTCATGTAAGTAATGATATATTTAACAGCAATTTATGATTACTTAACCTAGGTAAGCTGTTATGATGCAGACAGGCAATCATTTCTGAACACTAACAAGTGGGTTGAGGAGGTGCGTACAGAACGTGGCAGTGATGTTATTATTGTCTTGGTTGGAAACAAAACTGATCTTGTTGATAAAAGGTTAGTACCGAGTTTGTAAGTTTGGTCCCTCTCGCTCTCTGTGCGTGAACTCTTTGGATTTGGTAGTTACAGATAGTAGAAATCACAGTAAACTATTTAGCAGACGACTTGCACTTTGTGTTTGCCATTCAATTAATAGTGATTTTACCAGCTGAAAGTTCTTTTGAAAAAGGCCATTTTGATGCATAAACAGGCAAGTTTCTATAGAGGAAGGAGAAGCCAAGTCCCGCGAGTTTGGAATCATGTTTATAGAAACCAGTGCAAAAGCCGGCTTCAATATCAAGGTGAAAATTAGTGAATTCTCCGGTCATCTCAATATTTTTAGTTTATTAGAGCAGCTCCTGAACTAAAATGCCCGTGATCTATTGTATTTTTCAAGCTTAAGATCAGTTAGTGATTTCTCAATTTTATCTCACGAGTTGGTTTTTGTGTCCTTAATGTTTTCCATCAATGCAAAATTGCAGCCTTTGTTTCGTAAGATTGCTGCTGCCTTGCCAGGAATGGAAACTCTTTCTTCTACAAAACAGGAAGACATGGTTGATGTAAATTTAAAGCCCACGGTGAATTCATCCCAGGCAGAGCAGCAAGGAGGTGGTTGCTCATGCTAGAGAAGACCATTCTCATAAGAGCCAATATTTGTTCACTGAACATGATTCCGGGATGGGCTGCTCGAATGGAATGATAAAGCTGGAGGAAGTGTGCTTTCATATCGATGATCCTTCACTCCTTCAGTTTACTTGGTGAGGGGGACAAATTGCTGTAATGGTTTTGATGTACGGCCCAAATATTGTTAGTTATTTTTTTATTTGTTATGCAATTAGTCCCTTAATGTAAGAATACAGGTAATAAACCAGTTTTCCAAATTGTCTAAGGTTTATGTTATCCTTTAGAAAGGCAAACTATTTACAAGGCCTGAAATAAATTACCCTCCATCCGACCCCTTTTTTTGGGGGGGCACCGCGTCCTATCCAAAGCAGAATTTTGCCTGGTTTATGGGTGTGCCTATGGATCTGGTTTGACTCAACGGCCCGACTAACTTGACGGAACCATTCCATTGTTTGCGATTTACAAATTTGATTTTGAATGAATTTAATCTTTATCGAATTAGCTTTATTTAAAAGTGAGTTTAAAGAAATGTCTTTTATGTTTGAATGTTTTTCTAGTGAAACTCAGAACAAAATTTTAAATTCACTCAAACATAAAAATTCTGTACAATTATATTATATTAAAATTAACATGATTTTTTTAACATTTCAATCGACATTTAAATAAGTACTAAAATATGGTTTGTGTTGTATTGTAAAATTGTTTGACGTTTGTTATGATATTCTATTAAAGGATGTAATTTTTTTAATATCTTAAAAATTAAAAGATATTTATGATTTTTTTAAATAAACTACTAATTTCATTATGTAACATAGTATAAAACATCTGCTCATTTTAGAGAGTACAATAAAATTTATTAAATTGTTTTTTTTTATCTAAATCTAAAGGGATCAGGATATTAGGTTTTGTTAATAAAAAAAAAATATGGATTGAGTAGCGATTTACTAATAAGGGTATGGTTGGATTATATTTTTGTAAACGGTTGTTTACTCTAAAGGATCGCTTCTACTCAAATCACGTTTTGAGATATAAAATATTGTCTAACACAACTCAATTACAACTTCGCTAAAGATGTTATTTATTGATAAAACTCAATTTACATTCACCAAACTAAAATTTGAAAAATAAATAAAATTCAAACATGTTTACCAAGAATGAATTGATTTTTGTTAATAGCTTCTTAATAGTTACTACAAATAGATTAATTTTTTTTTTGAATTAGTTTTATTTCTCTTCTTTTTATTTTACTTTTTCTAATGAATTACTAATATTAAACTCATTTCGTCATTCTCATTTGACCAAATTGATTAATCATTTAGTTAGAACGTCATCAGAAGCTAGGTTGAATTGATTGATTGATTTATTTATTTTAATCAATCAAAAGAATTACTCAAGACTTGAAACTAATTTTTTTATAATCAAATCCAAAAATCAATCTTTTAAGACAAGTGAAGAAATTTCTGAAAAATAGACATATAATAGAAAAGAGAATAATGTATTTATTTTTGTTACTTAATAATGTAGAATATGTTTATTGAAAACATTAATGAGATATATTAGATTGAATAACAAAATAATATACTTCTAAGAGAATGTTTAGAACAAGTAGTCATAATAATAGTCAATAATGTTATTTAAACACCCAGCTTTGGTGTCTATATCCAACACCGTATAATAATACTTCCCAAATAGAAAGTTGCATGTTACTTATTCTACACACGTGAGTATGCTACCTAAACTCATTAACCAAACTTTAAAAAAATTAGAAGAATGTCGTGTAAGTCTTCCGCCTCTGATTCCTCCTCTTTTCTTCTTCTTCCTCCTCCTCCTCCTCCTCTCCTGCGGCCTACTCCTGCGTATTTGGATGTTGTCTCTCATTTGAGTGTGATAGTGTGTCACTTCGTCTTTCCCACTTCTCCTCTCACGCGCGTTCTCTGCGGTTTCTTCTTCTTTTTCTTTTAATTTTTCTTCTTCTTCTTCTTTTTCGTCCTCTTCCTTTCCAAAAATATGAAGTTCTTCAATCCTACAATGTTCTTCCTATGCTAAAACTATATCTTTGTCATGTTATTTGTTATTCACGTTACTTTCATCTTACACTCTACGTTTTGTGTGTAAGTTTATTGTCTCACTTCTCATTTGAGTGATACATAAGTCCTATCAAAGGTGGTGCAATATAAATCGAAAACCCAGGGTCTTGCATTTAAGCTGAATAGTTTTTGGTAAGTTGGTCTTTGATAAAGCTCATGCCCATGACTCTGTTTTATAAAACACCCTTTGTTTTATAAAGTTTAATTTTTTTTGTTTCTATTTTGTGTGTTTTTTGCAGGTTGTAGCTTGAACGTTTAAAGCATATGGAGGTGCAACGGGTTATTGAGGAGGAAGCACAAAAGCATGACAATGAAAATGTTGTTGAGCCCGTGTGTGAAGTTGCTAGTGAGGATGATAGCTCTGACATAGTTGAGCCAAGTGTCCGAATGGAGTTTGATGATGTTGAAGCTATTAAAGTATTTTACAAGAACTATTCAACTAAAGTAGGTTTTGGATGGAAGATTAGAAATTCAAAAAAAGGCCCTGATGAAGAGTTGAACTATTTGATACTTGCATGCATACAAGAAGGAAAGAGCTCTTCAAAGGTACCAACAACTTTGAAGACACTTCATAGGATAGCTGTCAATTGTGAAGTAAAGATCACAGCAAAGAAAGGGGGATCTGGAAAATGGTCTATAAAAACAGTTGTTCTATAACATTCTCATGGATTGACATTCATTTTTATGTGCTTTTTCTTCAAAACCTGTTAACATCAATCATCAACTCTACATGGTAAGCTTAACATGCATCAATTTAGCCTTATCAACACGATACAGTAGTGTACATATACACATACCTATGTTTTGGACAATACGACCACCTGAAGATAACCTTTTAGACCTTGGACTAGTAAGAATACATAGAGGAGTTAATAACATGTCATGAACATCAGCTGCTTTGCACATAGCTTCTCTTTCTTCATTTCTGATATCCAACACCCACTTTATTAACAATTCCTCTCGAATGATTGCAACTTTATCCTATTGGGATTATATACACTTTAATTAGCACCAATTTAGGTTAAATGAATATAAACGAATGTGTAATACAAACAACAAAACAAATGTCACACTTCAGTCCATGTTGGCATAGTAGAATCACCATCATATGCTGCTTCACCATTCCACATCTCCATGTATTTAATGGTGTGCACACCGCAATCATAACTGTAATTAAAAAAGAAAGGTAAATGAAGAGTAAATTCAATTTTAATTATTTCTATATATGAAATAAGGTGATATGAAAGATGAACTCCCCATTATGTTGTCTTGGGACACTTGGATACTCAATTTGAAAGTGAGCATTTGTAGAGACAAAGTTTTGATCAATTAATGTGAATATCTCCTCAAATTGTTTAGCCTACAATGTTATATTATTATTCAGCTTTAGCATTAACTATAACTATGAAACATGCATCATATGACTTAAGAAATAATATTTTCCACACCGCCAACTAATCCAACATAGTCATCTTCCTTATGTGATGTGAGTACATAGAATCTAAGAACTTTAATTTCATCTTCTGTTAGTCCACCACATAGCACCACCAATGCTTTGAATACAAGATTGGTGCAAATATCTACAACACAATAAGATTTGCATTAATCTGTTGCGACATTGTAACATAGCAAATACGCGATACATGACTTCAATTAAAATATCAAATTGCAGTTCAGAAGCTGAGGCTGATTAACAGGAAAAAAAGAGGATAATTCGCGACATGGCAAATGCTTATCCTTCATGAAATTATCTAGATCAACTTTTATGCAATCCTGCAGTTAGATAAATGAAAAAAATTACGCCAAAGACACAAAGATATTGATGTAATACCAAAATCGAATAAATTTCAATCACCATAAAATATGAAGACAAACAATAACGCGACTTTGAACTTGGAGAAATGTTTGTATCATTCAAGACTGCACTAGTCAAGCTAAACCACCTAAGCATAACCAACACACTACGTTAGTAGAAGGAAAAGTCAAGAACAACATAATAAACTACCATTAATATGATACATTGTACTATACATTGTTACACAGTTGTCGTCTACGTCCCATTGTCATAATGTCTACCCAATTCAAATAGTATCCGCACATTGAAACTAGCACTCTAACACTTAAAGGACAAATAGTTAGTCAAGCTAAAACAGTCCACCTCTAATTGGTCGTATATAAATAAAATGTATTACTATTATTTATAAAACATAGACTTATAAATTCATACTCTCTTTTTTATTCTGGTGGGATTGACTTGTTAATACAATTCTGATATAAGGCATTACATGCCTTTTTTCTACAATCATCTTTATGTGATTAGACAATACGACCACAAGTAAGTCCACCATCACCTTCAGGTATATCTTTATGCTGATGTTTTCTGAAATCAGACTCTTTCAAACTTCTGCTTTCCATTTTATGGCTTGATTTATCCAAATCATTATTTCTCATTTTATTATCTTGTGAAGATTTCATCGTTGTGGAATTAAAAACTATAAAACGATTAGCAGCTAGTGCAGCTTCTTCTTGTGCCTTATACATCTTGATAGTCTCCGCAACTAAGTTTCGAAACAACTACATTTTCACAATAAATAAAACTTTATTCTGATTGACAACAAAATTACATAACATGACAACATAAACTGAACAACAGCAAAAGAAATATAAAATTGCATTACTCAAAAAAAAAAAATTTACTATACCTCTGTTTCAGAATTTTCTTTCAACCACAGTGAGTCAACAAGATCACATTTATCTTTTTTGTGATACAATAGGCTCTATTCAAGAATAGAATTATCATTAATTAAAAACAAATTTTTTATATGAACTACGACTCCATTTTCGTTATAATAACAGTAACATAACCACAAATAGGAATCTTCAAGATAAATCAATGGAATTTACCAGAATGTCATTCTTCTCTTCCCGAATCCGTTTTTCTATCATGTCATCATCCCAAAATTTAACCCAAGGATATTCTTTGTCAAAGCCAGTGATGCTTAATAGACGCTTATGAAAATACAAAACTCGCAGCAATATTGGAATTTTATTTTAGAGTCGGAAATACTTATATACTCAATTAATAGGTTATAACAATTGTACAATTAACATTTTCTAAACTATACCAAATAAGTTACAATACCTTAAGAAAAAATATGCAACCTCCAATCCCTACTATCTTACTCTTGTATTGTCTTGCCTTATATGATTTCAACTGTCTTACAAGCCAATTAAAAACAAATAAGCTCCAATTATACTTTTTTACATTTTCTATATTAATGATAAATCCTAAAAGCGTTGGACAGGGTGTCATCTTTAAAGTTGAGCACAAGAAACATGACAAAACATACAAGATAAAAGTTCTTCTAAACTAGTCGTCCACTTTGCCTTCACCAATAATCCGAAATAGTTGGGCATCTGTTATTCCTTCAAATTCAGTCAACATTGCTCTTTGTTCGGCTGTGTCACATTCTGGAATGTCCAATCCTATATTCAAGTTCGAAATATTAGATTTATCAGTTTGAGAGTAAAGGTCATTAGGTTAATTAACTTATTTAATATGTACAAACCATGTTCTGGCAGCCCAAAAACTTTGGCTACATCGTGATAGCTTACTGAAATCTCCTCTCCCTTTGCGTATATGCACAATTGATTTAAATGAAAAAGACTTTACCAATTTTAAGCAGATTCTCCTATCAAGTCTTGTACATTTTACATGGAAAAGTCCTCCAAACCCCATATCAATGACTATGTCTCGCTGTTCTTTTGTCAAGATGTTACAAATCGTTTCTAAACGATTTGGTGAGCATCGACTAAGGAATACAGCCTGTATATATGCATTTCAATTAAACTATCAAATATACAACATCAATATAAATGATAAATGGTTCACAAGTTTGATGATTACATACCTTGCCGCCAGATTTCTTCTTTGTCTGCTTCTTTGACAGTTAACGGGTCCTATTACTATGCATAACTTGTCTACTTTCATCACTAGAGTCATTTTCATCTAAATTAACATTTTCATTAAGATCAAAGTCCTGGTCTGATCCTGAGGTTGTCGCTTGTTCAACAACGCGTCCTTTTCCTCACATCATTTTTTAATTATGTACAACCTACAAAATTACCAGTATATATATTACAATTACCATCACATTGAACATTGGTTTACTAACTTTATTTGCTGAATTACCATATTCATACAGTTCAGACAGAGTATAACTGTTATCATATTACTAGCAGTTTTAGACTTATCAGCTAATATTGGTGACAACTCAAGAAATAAACTTTAGTAAGTTCAATAACACATATTACACGAGAAAAAGAAATTGTGTTAATCCTGCAACATTACCACTTTCATATTAAAATTACCATCACATTAAACATTGAATTACTAGGTTTATATGTCAATTACCATCTTCATATAGTTTAGACACAGCACATCTTCTATGATATTAGTAGCAGTTTCCTACTTATGGCCTAATATTAGTGACAAAAATTCACTAAATGTCATTCTCTATAAGGCTACCACAACGGAATCTAAAATGATTTCAGAGTACTCATTAACATTGTGGAAAACCCAAAGAAGAAGACATTAAAAGTACCTGTAATGCTGCGAACGACTGTTGTCCAACCTATCTTCAACACAAAAACTCGAAAGAGGGTCAATACACAAATACCCAGGAGTAGACCACAGAGAACAAGTGAGAGAGAGTCACGTAACAATGAATAATCTCCGAGAGTGAGAAAGAAATTTTTTTTTTGTTGAAAAAGGGCAGCGACAACGTAGCTTTGCAATTCAAACATTTTTTTTTTCTGGATTTGTTCAAGAAAAAGCCGCACAGAATAAGTGAGAGAGAGTCACATAATAATGAATAGTCCCCGAGAGTGAGAAAGAAATTTTTTTTTTTTGTTGTAGAAGGACAGCAACAACATAGCTTCGCTCCTCAAATGTTTGTTTTTCGGATATGTTCAAGAAGAAGAAGAACCCGTAGAGAACAAGTGAGAGGAGAAGTGAGAGAGACGAAGTGACACAGTAAATTGTTCAAATAAGAGACAACACCCAAATACTCAGGCTCCAGGAGAGGAGGAGGACGAAAAAGAAGAAGAAAAAAAAACTGCACAGAACGCGTGAGAGGAGAAGTGGAAGAGACAAAGTGACACAGTGCATGCTCAAATGAGAGACAACACTCAAATACCTAAGAGTAGGCCGCAGGAGAAGAGGAGGAAGAAGAAGAAGAGAGAAGGGATCAGAGACAGGACACTTACAATATTCTTTTTAATTTTTTTTAAATTTGGTTAATAAGTTTAGACAATATATTCACGTGTGTAGAATAAGTAATATGCAACTTTATATTTGAAGAGTGTTATTATAAGATGTTGAGTATAGACACCAAAGCTGGATGTTTAAATAGCATTATTGTATCAATAGTAATCTATTGGTTGTAAGGAAGGGCAAAGGTAATTTATTTATGGAAGGATACTTCGGCAAGCTCATCCAATAAAAGAGGACCACACCAGCGAGTGGGTCCAATAGGCATATACTTTGAAACCTCTCCCCCCCCCCTATGTCTATGTCTATGCTTAGATGAACGACCTAGGAAATCCCAAAATTTGTTTGATCTAGCTTTATCGTTCGAAAGATTAAAAACACAAAATTACGAATAACTCTATGGTAGTTCATATAAAAGACAAAAGAATGGCATTTCATAATTTATATAAACTTCTGGAATATGTTAAACCACTTTTATTTTACACATGGATTAAATATTTAAAAAACTTATTTTTAACTTTTCAAAAAATAATAAAATATAAAAAGTATATTAAAGAGCATAAAAGATTTTGTCAGCAGCGTTGCTGTCTTTATCCAGGGTCAGGCTAGAGGGAGTTCCTTCTGACTAGTTTGTGAAAAAAAACAAGAAGACCGTGAATCAGCGCTCGGAATGCCGCGCACAACCCGCAAAGCCCACGAACTGGGCCAGTCGAGGCCCACACGCCCACAAGAATTTCCCTGTTCAAGCCCACGCACGCTCCATAAATAATATGTACTGCTACCATACTACTACGGGTACTAGTTAGGCTATTTGTTAGGCCACTATTACTGTCACAATAAAGGAAAGTTGGAAAACTCCATTAGCCGAAGTTTAAAAAGAGAAAAATCATCGGTAAATAATTTAAAGAAAAAAATGGAAAGCGTAAACACTAGAAATTTATGCATTTTAAAATGAATAGGAGCGATTGGGATTTAAATTAAATAAAGAAGCACGATATCACCAACCTCAACGCAAGGCACTATTACTAACCGGCGACAAAGCCCCGCAATGTAGATGCGACGGTGGAAGCTATGCATCCCCAATCAAACACCTCACATCTCTCTATATCTCACACACACATCTCAGAAGCCCAAATCGGATTCCATTCCTCTCATCTTTCAACTTTCATATATTCCTCATTCTTGTTAAGTCCTCAAATTAAAAAGCCAGCGAAAGCAAAACGTGAAAACTGAAAGGAAAGCCAAAACATTTTCAAACCCAACTCCTCGTACCTCGTACCGAATACAATCTGAAGCAACAACCTACGACAACGACAACAATCAAAATTACAACAATGCCCCACTTGATCAAACAACCCGAACCCTCTGATTCGTTCTTCCCCGGTGGCCTGTTCCTCCACGCAGACATAGTTCCTTCCTCCTTCATTTCCTTGATTCCTTCTTCTTCTTTGAATCCGAGGAAAGTTTCGTGTTTTTGTTGGAGTCCCAGGAGAAAGGTCGGTTGCGTGGAAGAGAGAGTTTGTACCATCGGCGGTGGCGTGTTATTGTCGTTGAGTTTGTCCATAAATGGAACCGGTGCGGATCACAGATATTCACGAGAATCGGGTGAAGTTGTGGGGCATCACAAAAAGGTGGAAGCTGAAGAGAAAGAGAATGTTGGGGTGAGTGGATCGGGTGCTATCAACATGACCAAGCATCTGTGGTCTGGTGCTGTCGCAGCCATGGTTTCAAGGTCTTCATTCCTTATTTCTATTCAATAAATACACTCACAATTTTATGTGTATTTTAAAAATGTGTATATACAAATATAAAAGAAGAGAGAGAGAGAGAGAGAGAGAGAGAGAAATTTAGAAATGATTATATACCAAGTTAATTTCCATAGTTCAAGTGAAGGAACTGTTTGATTATTGAACTGTTTTATTTATTTATTTTTACACTATGGGTTTGCTTAAGGTTGAAGTAGCTGTTTTTGTTTTGAAGCTATGCATAAGTTTTGTCCCTTCTTTTTAAAAAAATTGAAAACCAACATGCAACATGTTATTTTCTTGCTTGTGCACGGTGATTTTATTGATGCACCGTTTGAGTTGTGTTCTGTTTGTGGTATCAGGACTTTTGTTGCACCACTTGAGAGACTTAAGCTGGAGTACATAGTTCGTGGTGAACAGAAGAATCTTTATGAGCTCATTCAGGCAATTGCAGCTTCTCAAGGGTTGAGAGGTTTCTGGAAAGGAAATTTTGTGAACATTCTTCGGACAGCGCCCTTTAAGGCTATAAATTTTTATGCCTATGATACATACAGAAATAAATTGACGAGGATATTGGGGAATGAAGAATCCACTAATTTTGAGAGGTTTATTGCGGGCGCTGCTGCAGGGATTACAGCTACCTTGCTCTGCTTGCCCATGGACACAGTGAGTGGAAATTCAGGATCCTGTTAGTTGTGTCTGTCTCTGATAACTTTCTTTGCTTGCTATGTGTTCAAGCTTTGGATTGTGATACTTTGAGGAGCAATATGATAGGATAGGATGTGACAGTTATAACTTTATTGTTACTGTTCAAGTATAGGTACATTTTCTTTGGATTGTGATGCTCAGAGAAATATGATATGATGGGTATGAATTGATGCAGACTTGTCTAGTGTAGTGTTTCTGATAGGTTTGCTGGAATCGCATAGGTTCTGCTTACCCAATGAATTTTAATTTGCAAAATGTCGTTTTCTAGCCACATTTCATTCCCTATCTCTTTTAACCAGTGTTATTTATGCTAACTAGTTGAAAAAACTAAAGAGGATTAATTGCTGTTCTTATCCACCCATCTCTCTAAACTGTATTTATGAGTTCACTTGATGCTTAGTTCTACTCTTATCTGCTAACCAAACATGGTTATTAAGAGATCTTAATGTTTGCTTGATTGGATGTTGTAAGCATGTCTTTGATCATAATTATTACATTCTTATCTTATCTTTGATATATCTGTTCCACCAGGATGCTCCTTGATTGGGGTAATCATCTGTAAATAACAATAACGGCAAAATTTGAATCATAGTAAAATAAAGTGTCTGCTTAAAATTGTATTTGCAATTTTGAATACCGCAGAGGCGAAGACATTGTTCATGGTCTCTGTCACTGACTCACTTTGTATTTCAACGTAGTACAATTTTTAATTGAATTTTTTGTGGTTGCATTCTAAGAGTGATATCTTTCAGATCAGGACGGTAATGATAGCACCTGGTGGTGAAGCGTTGGGAGGTGTGATCGGTGCCTTCCGCCACATGATCAAAACAGAGGGCTTCTTTTCTCTTTACAAGGGCTTAGTACCCTCCATTATCAGCATGGCACCTTCAGGTGCTGTCTACTATGGTGTTTATGATATCTTAAAGTCAGCATATCTGCATTCACCTGAAGGAATGAAAAGAATCCAATACATGAAAGAAGAGGCTCATGAGCTGAATGCTTTGGAACAACTAGAACTGGGTCCTGTTAGAACTTTACTCTATGGTGCTATTGCTGGCTGTTGTTCGGAAGCAGCTACTTACCCCTTTGAAGTTGTAAGGAGACAACTTCAAATGCAAGTTCGAGCAACGAGGTTGAATGCACTGGCAACTTGTGTCAAGATTGTTGAGCAAGGAGGTGTTCCTGCTCTCTATGCTGGATTAACTCCCAGTTTATTGCAGGTATGGCCTCTGTTCTCGATAATATACTTTGAACCATAAAAAGCTGCGCATTAAATTTTCGCAAAAAAGGTCAAATGAGTGTTGAAAATTAGTTTTCATCTTAGCTTATTCATGACAAGTAGGTGCTGTTAATCCTTTTATTAATGTTTTAATATGGTGTTTTCAATTTTGTGACTTTTCAGGTGTTACCATCAGCTGCTATTAGTTATCTTGTTTACGAGTTCATGAAGATAGTTCTCAAAGTAGAATCAACATAGAGGATTATGTCAACAATTCAGGCTTTGTTTTGTTAAAGTGAAAAAAGAGAAAGAAAGATAATGCGAAAACTCCGTTCCATTCTTCATACAAACAGGTTGAAAATGATACTTTCCCCTCATTTCCTTTTTTTTTTTTTGTCACCCGTTTCTTTGGGCGTTGGAATGTTTTTAGATGTGCGAGGAAATCAAGGATGTTTTACACAAATAATTTATTGATGTTTTAAGTTAGATCTTGTACTAATTTTGTACGGTTCACTTGACAATAATCAGAAGAAAGAAAAAGGAGCAGCAAGCTTGAAAAGATTTTGATGCTTGGTTAATTATTCGATCAATATCTTTTGGTAGCATGTTTGACTTTTAATATTTTATGGTAGCTTTTTTAATATGAAATCTCTTGGAAGTGACTTCAAATCTAATTCAAGTCGGATGAACTGTTAATGGGAGAAGTATTTGAAAAAGTGATAGAATTTCTTTTTAAATTAGATATAAAGCCTATTATTTATAACAAAGCTCGTGATGCAGGTTAAACTAAAAAAAATGTTTTAAAATAAATTGATTTTTAAGATACATTCATAAAAAAATAACTACTATTAAGTTTTTGTACTATTATAACGGTGTGGAGTTTACAGAAAGTGGAGAAGATACGCGACGTATGTGTATTATACTAAAGTAGTTTTTAAGCTTATGAACATTCATTAACTTATTTTTTAAAATTATATATAAAAAAGAGTAAATAATATTTTTATGATTTTAAGAATTAGATTGGCCAACAAATAATTTAAAATAATATTTTAGAACTGCTTTCTATTTTTTGGGGGATTAGGCCCTAATTTATCGGATGAGGTTGTGCAAGGTGTGTTTCGTTATCTCGGTCACAATAGTTGCTGGTGTTAATGTGAACTTCCTTAATGTAAAAGCGATGGATTGCTCTTCCTTTGGCAGCATTTTGTGGCAGGTGAACACATCAATGCTTGTGGCATGAAATGCATTGCATCAGAATCGATTTATATTTTATATCATATTAATCTACCACAACATTCTTGAGTGAAATGCATTACATTAACTTAATAGGATGATGGGTCACATATTAATTGCGACTTTGCAAGAGTGATGTAGTATGTGAGATTGTATTAGTGGGAAAAGAAAAATATGTGAAATGGCCCAAGAAACAGAATAAAATCTTATTTGTCAATACTCAGTAACGTCATTGCAGGTCAATTGCAATACAAATCCAGATCGACAAGTGCAATGTGCAGACGAGTTTACTTTTATTGTTCTGTTTATATCTTTTTTGGAAGTTTTTTTTTTTTTTTTTGTCTAAGATTAAGTATAGTATTTACTGTTCAGGTTAAAAGTTTGTTCCTATTCTCATTCTGACTCCTTTTAATTGTTCTAATTTATAACATGTCTGTCTTCATGGTTATAGGCTTATGTGAGGGGTCATTGGAACCTTCGAAAAGGTTATTTCGCGCATATATATATATACTGCTTACTTTCCTGTCAGTATATCACAGCAATAGTTTCATTTGTTAATGTTAGAAGCATTTGGAAAAGATTATGAGTACCTTATGAAATAGTTTATGATTTTTTTAAGCTCTTTTTAATTATTTCAACAAGCTTCTTAATACATATAAAAAGTTCTTTTTGAGATTATTCCAATAAAATTTATGGTTAAATTTATAACATATCTAAACACACTTTTAATCTTTAATGTTGATTATAAGTATCTAAATAAAAAGTTTTTAGTGAAAAAATATATTACAATTTTAAATTCTTAATATAACAAATGTTAGTCTCACATCATGTATAGTAAAAGTCAAACAAATTGCTGTATGTTTTGTCAAAATCTTCTGCATACTTTTTGGTGGCATTTATTGTTGGGCAAAGAAAGGCTGAAGCTTTGCCTATAAATAGCAAGCTTCCTTCGTTCATTTAGTGCATCCAACACCATTGTGTAATCTCACTAGAAGCAATACCTAAGTATATAGAGAGAAAAATACAGAAAGATAAAATAGTATTCTTCTGTGAGGTATTCTAGTGAGTGAGTTTTTTTTTATTTTTTAAGAGAGAGTGTCATTGTTCTCTCCTTATAAATTAGAGAGAAAGTGTAATATTTCTTTCACTTATTAAAAATATTTTTTGGGTCTTACCCGTGGTTTTTTCCTTATCTGTTGAGGGTTTTCCACGTAAAATTATTGAGTTTCAGTTCTTCTTTTCTCATCTCTATTTTAGCTGTGTGATATTACTCAGTTACTCTGGTACCTAACAACAAATGCTTTTTTTTTGTGTGGTGATATATTCTCTCGTGTTAAAATTTCATATGAAAATATCACTTTAAATTTTGTGTCTATCTATTTCTTAATAGAAATTAAATAAGTGAGATCTGATAAAATAATAGAAAGAGAGAGAATTTACACGAGTTATCATGTCATTTAAATGAATCTTAAATATGGTTTTGTTCCCCTTTATTAAGTTCAATTTGCTTCTATTATAGCTTAAGAAGCCTTAACTAAAGTGCCAATAAGTCTATTTGAGGCACTGCTCCGTCCCCATATTGAATTCCATTCTCATTTGTAACCAAGAACAATTTCCTTCTGTTGACGGAAGCGATGAATATTGGATAGGCTACCTTAAAGCTTGTGAGGAAATAATTTATATACTTGTCTTGTATGACATAGAATCGCCCTTGTAGTTTGAGTCGATCTCTTTCATGCTCGGCAGTAGGACAAGGCATCAATAATGCAAAAGTTTTAGATGTCTCTGTTGCGTAGTCCCTAATGCAAAACAAACTACCACAATTTACCAAAAAAAGGAAAACAAGGACTCAAAACACCAGCCGTAGACATCATGCACAGTTTCGTTCTTGTGATTGGCAGTAGAGCTTAGACGTGTGTGTGTGTGTGTATATTTCTTTTGCAAGTAAAGCATGATGGAGATTAAGTATGCGTTCCACAACCTCAACGATCTATAAGCATTGTTGGACAACCTCCATTGTTAATAATATGCCTTAAAATTTTACATCAGGGTTAGGTGATGAATTGTCTCATTTTGATCGTTATTGTGATCTTAATTCTCATTATATTTCCCTATCATATGCTGGAATGTGCAGTGCACAATAATCATATGCCAATACAAAGGCTTTAATGGAATAGTGAAGTCAATTTTTCAATGCATACTCTGCTGTAAGGAGAAACGAAGTTTGTCTTAACAGTTAGATAATGCCGTATATCCCCCAGGTTACCGTGAAAGCACCAAATTAGATTTGAAATTCGAAATAGGTTAAAAGGGCTGTTTGCCCTAGTTTGGCTTTATATGTAACTATTTAGGTTGTTTGCCCTCCCAAAGACAGGGCTGTTAGTTCATTGACGAATATCTACCTATAACCTAAAGAGTTCGACAAACTATAAAACATGAAATAATCTAAACACCAGTTACGAGCAATTCCCATTTCATTGTGTTTCTAATGTTGGTTGAACATTTGCAACCATGAATACACATTGTTGGTGAAATTTTCACCCGATATATATATACTGCTCTTATTGTGAAAAAAAAAAAAAGGAAAAAAGAAAAGGACAGTGCTACACCATCCACTGTACATGCCAACCACCTAAGTATACATTTGCACAACCCGTATCCTCTGAAGGATCCACAAACAGGTTGATATAGAGAAAACGGTAGAAAGGAAAATAAATATGGAAAGCTGATGAAAAAGCCAAAGTCCAAATGATTTAAGTACCTAAAAGTCGTAGAACTACTCTGTCTAATTCCTGTTACCGGGTCCAAGGCTCTCATAGAACAAAATGTACCCATGGTCTGTATTACTTGAATATTCCTGTGCTGATCCAAAGAATGTCTGCACAGCAGATTCATCAATCATCTCTACGTTTTCATCATCAAAAAATAACCAGTGGTTATGGCTTTTCACAAGGCTGATATAATGCCCGTGGTTGGGCCCACTCCCAACATGGACAACTACTGCAAATAGAGAATACTCAATATCTGCATCTTCAACAGTGTTACTCAACTTCAGCTCAAGTGGAAAAACAACCCGGTAAGACAGTTTCTTGTAGCGGCCCAGCTGTTCCATGTACTTAAACCGCTTAAGATGGATGACCAAGATGTGTGGTGGTTTCTTTATCTTCATCCTCTTCTGAGCTTCTTGCAAACTAATATCATAAGAATGTAAACATCTTGGTCATCAAAATGGTGAATGGACATGAAAAATAAGAGACCACAGTAAATATACATCTTTAAACACTAAACTGACATGGCCACCAAATTCTGCTCAGATAACACAGAAAAAAATGTCAAACAAAGGAAAAATGAACATATCATGGTTTGCTAATTTGTTTCTTTTTAAGTGTAGTATCAATCAATAAACATGAATAGCACTCTATTTTCCTATTAAAAGGACATCAAAATTTCAATAAATCAACAGATGATATTCAAGCTATTTGACATTTGTGTTTGACCACAAACAATTTATTTCACTCCTGTTAAAATGGGTAGTAGATAGAATTAAGAAAACTTTATGAGAAACTAACAGAAATGACCTTAATCCAAATGATTTTCTGCAAATTAGGTTTTCCATAAAGTCTAATCACATCAATTAATCCATGCAGCCAATTCCAACTAGTTGCATACAGCTTGATTCCTATTGTTCTTAGATAAACAAGCAGCAGAATAATTCAGCTATCCACATGATTCAAAATGGTTGAACACGCACTTTAACTTATCCAAACCACTCAAGAAACCAACAGCCAATGCCACAAAAGTAGTATTCGGGATTTCAGGTAATTATAGAAACAAAATTTGAGCCAAAAAGCCATTATACCTGCAGCATTTGTCACAAAAAAATTTGTCTTCAGCATTCAACGTCTCAGTAGAACTGAAATTTTTCAAACAACTTGTAATTGAACTGTTTTGCTCAATATCAAGGCTCAAGTCAAAAAATGTTTCATCTCTAGCTGTCACCGTTTCACATTGCAAGCACCTTGTCTCATTGGTGAGTATTCCCTGATCAGAGCAAGTTACAACAATAAAATTCCTCAAAATACAAGTAAATATTATTTTTCTGATCAGTACAGAGTAAGAGCAACAACACCCCCTCCCCTCAAGAAAAAATACAAAAATTGTATATATATATATATATATATATATATATATGTTGCAAAATGTGATATAAAACTAGAAAACTAACTACATATAAAAAGAAGGTTTTGAGAAAAAAAGAATAAAATGGTTGTACAATAGTGAAAAAAACTGAAGTTATAAAAGGAAAGTAGAGAATTAAAATAAATATGGAGAAGGAAACTTGGATGTGAAAACAGAAAAATAGAATCAAGAAAACAAAATAATAAGGAAAAACGAAAAAAATGGAAGTGTAAAACAGAATGGGAGAGGGAAAAACAGAACTGAAAAAAAAATAGGAGGGAAAAACTAAGAAAGAGGGAATAATAAGCTGAAGTTATAACAGAAAAGTAGAGAATTAAAATAAATATAGAGAAGGAAACTTGGAAGTGAAAACAGAAAAATAGAATCAAGAAAACAAAATAATAAGGAAAAACGAAAAAAATGGGAGTAAAACAGAGTGGGAGAGGGAAAAACAGAACTGAAAAAAAATAGAAGAGGAAAAAACTAAGAGGGAGGGGCAGAGCCCAGAGACACAAAATAGAAAATGGACGTCGGAAAACAGGGCCTTCCACTCACAGTTGCCGGAAAACAGCCAGAAAGGATGTCTTCTCCGGCAGAAATGGTGAAGGAGATGAAGGAGAAATTGGCTTTAGAGAAGAAGGAAGAAAAACAGTGTAGAGAACCCTAAATATTTTTGAAAATTTACTGCTTGAGAAGAGAAGGTAAAAATTTTAAGTGGAAAAAGTCTATTTTGCCCTTAAAAAACCCTAAAATACATAAAACAAGGGCAAGATTGGAATTTCGCTCTCTTTCTCAATTACACTTCAACACCCACACCAAGACACTACAACTAGGGCTTAACCTCTGCAAAGCCAACGCTCCACAGCGGCACAACAGCAATGAAAAAAGGAAGAAAATATGTGATTTAGGGTTTGGGCTCACGGATTATCTTTTTGGAGCAGGTCCAATCAATGGCCCAACTCAATTTTTCTCACTAAAAAGCCATTTTTTTACATTTTCTGCCATGGCTGCCGTTACCGCCATGTGCGTAACGGCCGCCATGGTGCCGCCATTGAAAAACGCCAGAAAACGGTAACGCTGTAACGGCGGGTCAAAAACCGCCACCGAATTCCGCCATGGCGCCACCATGGCCACCATTTAACAACACTGAAAATTGAGAAGTGAAATTACTATTTTTACAGTGTATAATAATAAAGTTCATTTAAAATAAACTAATAGTATAATAGTATCGTAAATAATGTGCAGATTTTCATAATAATTCACATAAAAGCCAATATGACTGGATTATGTATAAAATTGTTAGAAACCTAAACTAGCAAGCAGCAAGACATGAACACTTAAAAAGAGAACACTAATTTTGACTGGATCCAGTATAAAGTTTACAATTTATGGTCCATCCAAATTTTGTTGCAAGCAACATGCAAAAATGAAAACATTAAATTGGCAAAGCAAGATCACCTGAAAATTTTTGTGTACCCAAGTAACTAGAGGCTCTTTGTGAACACCATTAGCTTGACCATTCTTAGGCCCATTAACAGCCTTTTCAGAAGGCGGTGAGGTCTCCTGATCAGTTTTGGCAGCCTGAGCTTCTTTCTCCAGAATGTCAACTAGTTCATTCAGTAAAAAGTTCAAGAACTCGTGGGCATCCTGCCAAAAAGAGAAGATCCACAATAACAATGCTGTCTCTAATGAAAAAGTTAGACAAAATATGATATGTTATGCAAGCAGTGGAACATCAGGTTTGACGGATAATAAACAATCAATGATAAATAATGAATACATTTATAAATTTATTACACTGACTTCAGTAACATTTATAGTAAACCACCTCATTCAAAAGTAACGATTTTCCACATATGAACACTCAACATAAGTTACACAATTATTTCCTCACAGAAAAGAAAGAAACCCAATAAGCCAAAGCACCATTTGTATATCAGCTATATACAGTCAAAACATAAGTAGGCGTAACAAAGGAATGGTGCTATATGCCAAAGTGAAAAGGATTGTGGCCATATGGAAAAACTGATATAAAAAGATTATGCTTCCCACAGGACATATAAAAGAAATCTTAATTATAATATGAATAACCAATCATTGTGTGCATGTGTACAAACTAATCTCCTAATTATAATATGAATGTTGTGGTCAATGAAATTTACAGGTTTCTATAATAATCACCTTTCTGTACAAGAAATTAGTTCTTAACAGTGTAAGCACATACCTGGTGCATATAGCTACGGAAGAGTTCATTCTGTTTTTTCAACCTATGTACAAATCGTTTGGGAGCAATGACGCCAGTTTTCTTCTTCTGGGAACTTATCTACACCAAAAGAAATAAATATATGCATCTAAATGCCATTAAATGGACATTTGATTTGAGATAATTGTTGGAAAAAAAATATTATTCAGAATAAACAAAATGGAGATACTGACATAAGGCACACTACAAATACCTTGTGGCAAGTTCTCAGAGGCATAAGAGACAGGCATGTAAGAGTCCATTAAATAAATATTTGAGACAAATATATTGGAACAAAAATGTTATAGATATACAAAATGGAAATACTTACAAAAGCACCCCAAAAATAGCCGAGCCATTTCTCAGGTATACATAATACATATATATATATACTCAAGCATACTATGAAGCAGATTTAGGCAAGCACACAATTTCCTAAACCAATTTCATATAACTCAAAGGCAAAGAGGAAAGGCGAAAACACATAAAGAATGCGTTAAACCCACGTAAAACACACTGTCATAAACACAAAGCAACTTCTCAGAGGGAAGTAATAGTATTTATACTCAAGCATACTTCAACACAAACTTTAGATATGCATGCGATGCCCAATGTGAATTCCTTGCCTCTCAGGCACAAAACAACTGGAAAAAATACAACACCTAGCAACAAAAAATGTCAGCTAGGACTAGGTATATAAATTTTAGGCACTATTCCTAACTACTGCCTAATCATGCTTTGATAAACTTCACTTCAAATGATAAACAGAATAAACCACACGGTATGCTTTGTTAGGAGGAACTGAAGCACTAAATAAATCAACATGAAGATTTCTCTGTCACAAGTGTATGTTTGATCAACATACAAAAAGTCAAATAAATGAAGAAGTGAGCATAGCTAGCAAATCAACAGCTTCCTTTATGAGAGTACAAAGCAAGCAATATAGCCTTAATTAGTGAAGATGAGACAAATTTCAAATGGTGAATTATGCTTCACCCAATCAGATATGAAAAAGCTTAGAGAAATCAAGCATGTAATGCCAAGAAATTTACAAACTAAAGACTGATTACCTGTGAAAATAAGTCAGCTAAGCAAGTTAAAAGATTTTCTTCCGCATCCCCTATGCTTTTATTATTTCCGTAATACTCTAGTAATTGTTCACGAAATGGAACACAAAAGTATAATGCCTGTACAAGGAGGCAAAATAAGAAACAAGTTAGCAAAGAACCCTAAAAACCTTAACAAAAAGGAAAACAGGCCCATCTTCAAATACTGTCACCAGAGACGTCTAGTTTACTTATTGATATTTAGACATGGTAAGCTAGATATAAATCAACATATGCATCTACAGAGACGTTGATAATGCTACTGAATTCAACCGAAAAAAAAAATATTGATTAGCAAATTCCCTTTTAAATTTCAATAGAACTAAGAATCAATTTTAACAAAAATAGTTGATGCTCAATCCATGTACGGAATCTTTAATCTAGCGCGCAATGATTATGCTAATCAGGTCAACAGCACATCCAAAATACTAAACTCTCGTGATGATACATGTGGAACTGCAACAAACTTCGCATTGAATCAATATACCATCAAAATAGGCAAAAACAACAACAACAACAACAATAGAAAAGAAGAATCTACCGTCTTGAAACCAAAAAGGAAACAAATAAGGATGCAGTAAACATTAGAGTACCGATTGAACGCGACAAAAAAAAGGAATGAAAAAGGAAAAATTGTAAATCGGATTGGAAACGAAAAATATTAGAGTATGGATTCAAGACCTGCAAAACGCTGTTGCAGTAACAAGTGTTGCCGAAATTCTCAAGGCCAAAGTAACGTTCTCCTTCGGGGAATTGGTCGCCAAGAGCCTTCTCAAGCTTGGAGCCAGCCGCACCCATAACCGCGTCAACCGATCACCGAGAAACTCAGATTTCTATCCGATTCAACTCAGTGACTCGCAGCATGAAATACTGAGTGACCGTTTGGATAGTTAGGGTTTGTTGCAGAATAAAACCTTCAATGGCTTTTGGTTTTTCCTATAGATGTAATCGCAGAGAATGAAAAAGGGTTTCGCTCAAGACAGAGAACGCAAGAGCATGAAAATGCAGACGAAAATTTAAAGAAAAATTAGAAAAAAAAAATTAAAAAGAAGTAAAGAACACAGGTTTTATCATTTTTTTACAAGTATTTTTTTATTACCTAGATCCCAGCTATGTTAAATAACCAATTTTACTCTGAATGAGTACAACAGTGAAGAGTGATAAAGTTTTATTCTCATGTGCATATATAATGTCTGAATTTTAATTTATTAATTAAATTTAAATAATTGTGTCCCATCATGTACTTATTAATTATTATTTTATATAAAAAATATACACTCTTAATTATTAAATAAATTTTATTAAAATATAAAAATATTAAATTAAATAAATAAGATTTATGTGACATATTTTTTAATAAATTTTAACAAATAATTAAAAATATATTTAAAAAATGTGTTAGAAATGTGTTGCTCTTTTTTTATATATATAAATGTACATGTAATTTTCTTTACAATTTATTTGAATAAATTGGTGAAGGTGTACTAATTAAGAAATTAAAAACATGAAAATTTTAAAATTAACAAAATTTATTGTAATTCTTTATGTAATTTTATTACATCTTAAAATAAAAGATCTTTATTTAAAATAGCAAAAAAAAAGATCTTTACTTAAAATTTTCACTGGTATTTTTAATACGTTTGAATAAAGATAAAAAAATCAATTATATTTTTAATGTTATTTTGTAACAATTTCTAATAATTTCATGTCACGTAGATTTTTATTTTTACACGTTAATTTTGGAAAGAACGCTGCTAAATAGTACGAAAGATGATTGTACAAATATTTTTTACATTGAACAGATATTAAATTAAAAAATAAAATAAAATATTTGGCGAAAATCACACTGGATTGCGGTGTAAACTGTTTTCGTCTGTTATTCGGGCAAAGGTTTCGTATATCGCATCACACAGCATTTGTCTTCAGAAAATTGTCATGACAAGACAAGAGAAATTAAGGAAGGTGGTTAAAAATATGTTAAATATTTTTAATTATTAAATAAGTTATTGTAAGAAATTATCTTAGTATCAAATCAATGATCATGTTCAGACGGACAATTTAATCGACAATTTTTGAAAATTTTGAAAAATCGTTTAAAAACAAAACTTTCAAGACATGCTCCTGCTTGATCAAGGTTCAAGTCAACTTAGCTAATAGAGACTTTCTTCAGTTTTGTGCCTATAACATTTTCTCTTTTGCCTGAGTAAAGATTATAAGGTTTTAACTAAGCATGCTAATCTTTCTTCTTCTTTCTTTCTTTTTGAACACTCCAAGGCAGGTTTTTTATTCACAGAAATGTGAGTTTGATGTCAATCTGCATTAAATATATGGAATTAACATTCAAAAACTAAGATGTTGCAAGCAGTAGAAAAGCTTCATTGTTTTTTGGCATATCAAAATCTAAAAATTCCAAAAACGAAAGTAAATGTTGTTGGATTAGAAGAAATTATGCTTATTTATTTCCCTAGCTCTCGTCCAATTCATCCTTACATTTTCATTTTTTTTAACAAAAATGTTAGTTTTTTTTTTTGTTGTATGTTCAATTAATTATCACTGTTCTTATCATAAACATAAAATTAAACTTTTATTCATTAGTTCATATCTTGAAAATTATATTTGTGTCAAGATTTGGATGTAGCAATATTAGTTTGGTGGTGGACCATTATAAAATCAATCCATAACTCTCAACTTTATTTGTGAATTTATAATTGACTTATGATTTTTCATAAATTATAATTTCATAAATATACTTTATTTTCCAAAAAGATTTAAGAGAACCGTCGTCTAATTTTTCAAAGAATTTATATGATTTTATATGTTTTGATAATCAACATCTTACGTAATTCAACTATGTTATTGTAGTTTTCTTTTCTTGTGCCTTTTAGTTTTCTATTTCAGCCTATTAATTTATTATTTATCGGAAACAAATTTTCACTTGAGTTGTGCAATAAAAAAATTAAACAAATAAATTGTTTTAAATAACTCAGTTAATGCCGGTAGAGAAAACTAAGGAAGTCTTCATTTTTCTAGCAAGGAACCGTGAGAGTGGTGGATCCATAACTCGATCCATACTCATCCACTGCTTTGGTCACCGATGAGAGTGTAAAAGCTACAAAAACATTTGATTTAAACTAGTTATGGAATGATAAGAAGTTTTTTAATTAAATTTCTAAAATAAATTAAATTAAAATTAAGTTATGAACCGATGATTTGTTATTCATTGAATTCTATCAATTAATTCTCACAGAAATGCTGATGCACTGCATTAAATGTAATATAACGCCCTAATGTATTTTTAATTATGTTAATTAATAATATCATAACATAAAGTGACAGTATAAATATTTTATTTTTATACACACTTTTAATATAGTGTTATATGAAAGATAAAAATAAAATATATTTGTAGTTATTTTATAGTATAATTTGTAGTTTTTGAGTTGATATAGTAAAAAATAAGTTAACCTGGCACGGGGCACATTGTACTTAAGCGGGTTACATCATTATCTTTGTGAAAATTAATTAATAATACTTTATTTTTTTAGTTAATTTATGAGAGAAATTTTTTTTAAAATGTGAAAAAATAAATTAATTTTTTAATTGATTTTTGAAAACGATTTTTTAAAAATATTTATCAAATTAATAAATTAATCTTAAATTTTAAAAAGTAAATTTTAAGTTTTAAAATGTTTAATTAAATAAATAAGTTAAAATTATTTTTTTAAAATTAAACTTATATTTTAAATACCTGACTCAACGTAACGTACTTATAATTTTTTCTTTGATTTAAAAAAATGAATATTGAGATTTTGGATATGAGACTTTTCTCATTTCTTCAGTTGGTCGACTGAATCCATGGAATTGAGTATAAAATTAAATACTAAAGTTAAAATAGAACTTCCGAATTTTTATTATCATATTTGAATATTCATTTGAAATTTATATTATAATTCTATAGAGTAATTTCATAAAATTTTATAACAATTAAATTTTACTAACTTTAATTTCTAACCTACACTCTAAAAATTTAAATTCTTAAATTTGAATTCTTAGATTATAATTCACAAATATACTCTAATATTGTATTATATGTTTTTTTTTTTTATAGTTTTTCATCTCAGTAGTTCTTGTTATTTTTTATATATTTTATTTTTAATGCTTTTTTCTCTCTTCCTTTGTAGAATTCTTCTTCATATAATGTCATGTATTTTTTTTCCTTTTTTCATGATCTTTATATTCTCTTTTTCTTTTAACTTTACTTTTACATTGATTATTAATAAAAGTGATATTTCTTTATTCCTCATTGTCTTATTCTTTCTATTATTCTTTCAAGTCTTTTTTTTTTTTTTACATGTTTAATATATTTACATTACTATGTCTTATTATTATTTTACACTTGTCGCAAACTATATTATTTATATTAATTGTATAATTAATTATTTAATATTTTCTTGAATTGTTAGATATCAGAGTAAATATTAAAAATTAATTTAAAAATATTGAAAGTATAAGAAAAATAAAAAAAATAGTGTTTAAATGCAATAGAATAATAAAGACATAGTAAATAATATACTTTTGAGACGATTATATTATATAACTGATGAAAAATATTATAATAAATTACATCTTATTTATCATGTAGGCGTAAAAGAATCTGTTACACTGTTTCTACTTATTTTAGTTCATAGTCTCAAAATAAGAGTTTTCGGAAACACTTATATTCAATTTCTATTTTTAATTTTGAGAATTAAATTATATTTATGAATATTTATATATTTTCATATAATTTATGAAAAAGACATTTTATATCATAATATTAAATTTTAATGATAAACTAAACATAAAAATATATTTATTATGCTATGATTTTAAAAAAATATTAAATTATTATTTTAATAATTATTTTGTATTTTTAATTAATACATTATTTTAAAAAAGTTATTAAATAAAATTTTAATACAAAATTAAATTATTTTTTTAAAATTTAAATCTTACATAATACTGTAGAACTTGATTTTAATTTAAAATCTTAATTCTACATTTTAATTTTTTAAATACGTTAAACATAAGATTGTGATTTTTGATAGAATTTGAATTGGAATTACAATTCGAAATGTTAATTTTAATTCTATATACTAAACAAAGTAGGATAATATGATCAGTCGGTAATAGCATGAATTGTGGTTTGGATGAGGAAAGTGAATCACAAAATTTCTTATAATTTTCTTTCACTATAAAATATGATCAAATACGTAGGATAATGGAAAGAAAAAAAAAACAACGAATAATCGAAGGAAATATTGAAACTACTTTTTATATTATATTTAAGCCATATAAATGATTCTATATAATCATATTTTCATCCAATCAATTTTATTTTTTCTGTTTCCTTTATTTTTCTCACGACTTTTCTCTTTTCTTCATCTTTATTGTGTTTTTCTTAATCTTTCTCATAAAACTAATTAACTACATTTCTGGTTTTTTTAGTTCGTTTCATTCTAGAATCATTTGGTTGTTTGGTATTCGTAATTTTTTCTTCAGTTTCTATATTTTCATGAAAAATGTTAAGTATAATTTTTGGAGTTGATTTAAATAATTACAAATATTAAAATTTAAAAAAAAAACTTATCACACCAAAAATATAAAATAGTATAAATATTTTTAAATAAAAAATTATTATTTTTAGATTTTAAAAATTAATCTTCAAGACTAAGATTTAAAAGAGTCATATTTTATTTATTTATATTTCACTTTTTCCTTCTAAATATCGATTATTATATTTTTCTTCACTTTTAAATTTTAGTTCATAAATTTGTAGTTATTAATGTAAACAAATTCACTTTTATAAAGGATTTATCCCAATTTTGTAAATGATTGGAATATTAACTTTCAGGAGATGAAAACTGTAATAATAATAATAATAAAAAATATACAAACACTTGTATCAAAAGAAAGATATTGTAAAAGAAAATTCCCATCAAGTGAAAACTACAATAATCAAAATTTACCATTTTTATTTTTTTCCGTAAAGGAGGAATAACAAAAAGGGGAAATTGGGGTAGCGCTGTGTAGCCGATAAAATTAAAGAAGACGAAGGTGAGTGAATCTTATCTGCAACTGCAACTGCAACAGCAACACTCTGTACGTGGAGAATGTTGAACCTCTCTGTTGCTTCACCTTCTTCGACTATTTGCTTTCTCCCAAAACCATTACCATTCAAATCATCCTTCACTGGCATTCAGCTCCGTCACTCTCCCACATGCTCCATTCCACCAACCAAACGCACCGTTTCGGTGGTTATGATGGCAAAGAGGGAAGAGGAATTGAAGGAAATTAGGCAAATGACCACCGAACAAATCAACGAAGAAGTTGTCGATCTTAAGGGCGAACTTTTCATGCTTCGCCTTCAGAAATCGGCTCGTAACGAGTTCAAGTCCAGCGAGTTCCGTCGCATGCGCAAGAGGGTATTGCATTTTTAGCTTAATTTTTAGGGATTAGTCTTTTATTTATTTATTTATTGTTAAGTTCTCTCTGTATGATTTTGACTTAGGGATAAGCTCTTTTGAACACAAAATAAGATAATATAAAATTCATTAATATTTTTTGTCATGGATAACGAGCTAGGACAATGGGAGTTTGTGTGAGAGCGTTGTTTGGTTTTCTGCTTTAACAATGAAATTAACTTATGTGATTAGCTTGATGTGTTCCTTACACAGGAAGTTATTCGAAGACTATTTCATCCATTACATTTTTCATCCTTATTTATGCTTTACTATATGTTTATATTCATGTAAACTATTTTACTACCTTTACACGAAGCATGGTAGATGATGGCTTGCTAACTCATTTGTCATTTTGTTTGGTTGCACTACAAAATTTATGTCATTAAAAGGTTAGGATTTGAGGACACGTTTCTAGAATCATGTAGATTAAATCTAACATAAGGTCATAAGCTTGAATCTCTTATTCCATAGTGTCTTTACTATCTAGGTGTCTGAAGAGAGAGCTCACTTAGAAACAAATTGTCACTGATAACTAACGTAATCAGAGTAAGGCCTATGGCCATTTCATGGTAATTGAGGCTGGCACACCCATGTGCTGTTAGATCCAGAAATGGTGCTACTATTTCTCCTGCTCTGGGATCACTGGCTGCCAGATTATGAAGAGAAGGCCTTGTCTTTGGTGCTTGATCAAGTAATGAGGCCTAGATCAATGCCCCTTGATGAATAGAATGGTCCTTCAACCCCTACATTTGATTCCAATTTCTAGCATATGTCTGATGAGACCTGCCACTTTTAATTGAAAATTATTATTCTAGCATAGCATCACACTCTATAAGCCACGAGCAGGGAAGTACTGTGAGAAATATATATGCATGGATATGGAGTAATTCAACATGTATGTAATACTTGAACTACGATTTTGATTTCCTCAATTCATTGATTCCCTTATAACTTCTAACCTCTGCTTGTTTTTTGAGAACGCTAGATGCGCTTCAGGTTTTCTTTGTGAACTAGTGTGCAATTGGTTGAGTTATAATCTTTTCTGTATTTTTGTCCTTTCTTTGCAATCCTTTTGAGTGTTTTTCCTGTCAAATCACTATATACTATAATAGTCTTATTTTCTGTTTATGGTGTGTTGAAGGGGCTCTGCTCTGTCCATCTATCTTGCTTTCTCTTTTGGGTTTTCTTTTGTCATGACTACATGTCAATACCAATTTTAAATCCATAATGAAATTCAATCATCCTGCTATTTTCCATTTCCATTTTCCACTTGTTAAACTGAGATTTTGTGAGAACTGAAATTGTCTTCTATCAGGGCCCATCTCTCACACCTAAGAAAAAGCTAATCAGGGAGAGGGCTCACTAGTTAGTCAGTTGGTAAAGAGACAGCACACTGGGATTTAGAATGCTCTGATACCATGTTGAAGAGAAGATATGCACAATGGAAAGAAATAATCTCAATCTGGCCTAGCTGATTCAGCCTCACGTTTATAGTTAATAGTGTATTATTACCTTTGCATATGACTTCAAATGGTTCAAGAGGGATTTACTAAATGCTGTGTTTCTTGGCTAGATGTTATTTTTGGATGAATGATGATGCGACTGTTAATGTCCATACAGATTGCTCGCATGCTTACTGTGAAGCGGGAAAGAGAGATTGAGGAGGGTATCAATAAGAGGTTGTCCAGAAAGCTTGATAAAAAATGGAAGAGAAGCATTGTTGTACGACCACCTCCATCTTTAAAGAAGCTTCAGGAGGAAGAAGCAGCAGCCGAAGCTGCCGAAGCAGAAAAAGCTGCATGAGCTAACACAAAAAATGTGCAAGTTACAGAGTTCAACGGTGAAAATTATAGTTCAGTCATAATTTTCTTGTTTAGATGGATACTGTTATCCCGTGTATAATATATTGTTTGTAGTAATGGTTCATGCCTTTTATTTTGTAAGAAAAGAGACATGGTTATCAAAATCATGATTTGTCCTTCAAATTAGGTAAAACATATTTTTAAACTCGGGAATTTCAAATTCATTAAAAGTTTGCCTTTTAGTTTGTTGTGTGAATAACTTGGGAGAATAAAACCAACCCAAATCTATTTTAAATCAAATTATATAGATTGAATTTTAAATTAATATATTTCACTTTTTATAAAATTAGATTAAAATTAGTTTTAAAATTTAAATTTAGTTTGAAATTGGTTTTAGAAATATATTTATTTAGCATATCAAGATTTATGAATACACACACACACATATATATATATATATATATATATATATATATTATTCTATACTTTTATTTTATATTAAAAATATCATTATAAGATATAAAATTTATCTTATCATAAAATAACTAAAAATATACATTTTATGCGTATACAAAAACGTATGATGTAGATAATATAATATTTATTTTTATTCATTTTATTAATATACGAATCCATATCGATAACGTGTATATATATATATATATATATATATATATATATATATATATATATATATATATGTGTGTGTGTAAATAATACATAACAGCAAGTAGTAGCAAAATTTAATTGGATAAATGAGCATGAAAAAAAAAAAAAAATATATATATATATATATATATATATGTATATAATATATATTTTAAATAAGACATAAACGGTGAATGAAGGGAAGAATAGTATTGCACATGCATTACTTTGAGGAATCTGGTTGAGATTTATCCATAAATACGGTCGAAGATGAAAACTAATTTTTAATAAATTTAATTTAATTTTATTAAATGAAATCTAAAACTTATTTCAATCATAAAAAAATGGATTGAACGTCTGATTTTTTTTAAAAAATCAAGATTTTTAATTTCAATTTGTTTTTTTATAGATTGGATCATTAAATCTAGAGTTTTTGCATACCACTGGGAATGACTATTATGTTTTTTGCATACTACTCAACGAAGTCTCTAAAGCCACTGCCTCTTCTACTGTACAGTTTCCCTCCCCTCTGAAAAAACAATGGACGAGGAACAACAGAAGAAGCACTTAGCAATGGTGGAGCGTCTCTCGAAACGCCCCCAAACCCATTCAGATAAGTCCGAATCTTCATTAGAATCTACTTCTTCTTTCCTCTCACGCTTCTCTCATCTTAAATCCTCCATAGAATCTCAACTCGCTCATTCCCATTCACTTTCATCAGATCCATCTCAACTCAAACTCCACTTCCACAATGTTTCCGCATCAATCTCCGATTTGGAGAAACTCGTCGCCGAAAACTCCTATTTCTTACCCTCCTACGACGTCCGAGTCTCCCTCAAAACCATCTCCGATTTAAAACTCGCCCTCGACCACCTCAGCTCCCAGCTTATCCCTAAAAAGAAATTCTCCTTCAAAAACAAATCTAACAAGAAAGACCAGAATCCACTTGTTACCGAACCCAAACAACCCCAACTTCCCAACCGCGATTGTCATTCACGTGATAAAACGATTCTAGCCGCGCGTGACTTGCCCGGGTTCAGAAACAAAGCTGGCGAGGTTTTGGTTGGGGCGTTCCGGGAATCAGAGGTTGGGGAGTTCACGGTTTCGGATCTCGATTCTTGCGAAGTGAGAATAATTGGTTGCGTGAGGGCGCTTTTCGTTCACAGGTTGAAGAATTGTAGGGTTTACGTGGGGCCAGTGACGGGGTCGATTCTTATTGAGGAAGTTGAGGGCTGCGTCTTCATGATGGCGTCGCATCAGATTAGGATTCACGGTGCTAGAGGAAGTGACTTCTACCTTAGGGTTAGGAGCAGGCCTATAATCGAGGACAGTAACGGCGTGAGGTTCGCTCCGTATTGTTTGAGTTACATAGGGATTGAAGAGGATCTTCGCGGTGCTGGTCTCGATGCCGAGACCGGAAATTGGGGCAATGTCGATGATTTCAAGTGGCTGCGCGCGGTGCAGTCTCCGAATTGGTCGATTTTGCCGGAGAAAGAAAGGGTTGTGATCGTTGATATATCTAATTTGAACAATGGGAACGAGGAAATTTGATCTCAACATTGTTTATTTCTTTCAAGAGCCGTGTGGAACCAGACTATTATTATTGAATGTAGGTATGCTCTGTTTTTCAAATTTTGATGATGAGATTCATGTGATTTTAACTGTACAACTGGTTTTTGAATTGTTTCTTTTTCTTTGTTGTTTATTTATACGAGTGGAGTGAGTATAGGAATGAAATTTATGTCGGGGGTTGTATGCTCTCCTTTTCGATTTTTCATGGATTTACGTCTCTGTTCCTTTTTATAAGGTGCTGACGGGGGTGGGTTCGGTCTGGTTATCCTTGCTCATTTTAATAATCTGGTGATTCTGGTAAGGAGAAAACTCGAACCATGCTAAACGTGAAGACTTCTCTTTAGCTCAAATGAAGTTTTTGCTTTCATCTTAGCAAAAGAATTTGTCAATTTAGACTAATTTTTACAATTTAATTGAATCAATGGCTCAATTTAATTGAGACAAATATATTTTTACTTAATATATTTTATCAAATCATCTATATTTCTTTGTTGTTTATTTATACAAGTGGAGTGAGTACGGGAATGAAATTTATGTCTGAGGTTGTATGCTCTCTTTTTCGATTTTTCATGGATTTTGATAATAAAAGCACAAACTTTATAATGGTATGCAAGTCTTTATTCGATAAATTCTTATTGAAAGAAAACTTCTAACTTAAATCAAGAAATTTATTGAAACGAAGTTTTAAAAAATAATAATAAAAAAATAATAATATATATATATATATATATATATATATATATATATATAAGATAAGTTATTTTTATTAACTTTTCATGAGCTCTTTTAAACATCCCTTAATTGTGTTCCCAACCTTAAAATGAGACTTAAGTTTCTTTAAATAAAGCTATCTGATCTACTGTAAAATCATTGTCTATTTTCGACTGTACTTGTATTGTTAAAGTAATATGCTTATAAGTTATAACTATGGATTGTCACCATGTCAGTAGTTACCAAATGAGAATAGGTGACTATTAGAATGCTTGCAATGTTTGGAGGGTCTGGGTTTTTTTTGTTATTGTAATGTCTGACTTTTATGGTTAATTGATGTTAGAAGTTTTAAATTATTTTCTGTTAGGATTGATTGTTACTGAGAAAAGACAATGGTTTTATAATTACAGACAAAATTGTTAAAAGTTGATTAATCAATAGCTTCGTTTCAGAATGAGTAATCAATACGTGAGTTATTATTATATACGACAATGAAGCTGCAAACTTTTGCAACTGGCAAAACAATCTCATTCATAATATCACCAGACAAAATACAACGTTTGATCGACAACGTCATCATCCAAAATACTGTAATTTGTGTCATTCATAATGTCACCCAGTAAAAGAAAGACTGTTAACAGAACCAAAATCGTAGTTAACAAGCTCGATACAAATAAAGAGAATACAACTTGCAAAATAGCTCAGTCAAAACAGAAGAAAAATAGTGTGAATGAGACGTTGTCCAATAACAGCGAATTTGGTTCAGTGTTTTTTTTTCCCACAGTTTAGTGTTATATGATGTTGATCAGTGGTATATTATGCTGATGCTGGGACTTCAGGTTCTGTTGGTTCTTCATTTTTATTTTTTTATTTTTTTATTTTTTTGTCAATGTTGGTATTACTCTATCAGTACCATTCACCCTTCGGGCAGGTTCGACCATCAATTATTTTCAGTTTTTCTCCAACACTGCATAGATGACCACATGACCCATAGACTTTTAAGCATAATTTTGAAAATCAGACTGAATTAGTCGAACTGAACCGGTTTAACTGAACTGATTTGGCCCCACACTTATAACCGCCAGTTTAAGAACAAATGGATAACCCATGCTTCGTGGGTGCTCCAAGAAGAAAGCCTGACATAAAGAACGAGAAAATATTTAATGAGAGTGCTTCTGTCAAAATTACGGTTTTTTTTTTTCAACAGATAAACAAATTTTTCATATAGGTGATTTGTCAAACAAATTCGTTAATCAAATAGACTTTATCATTGACACATTAAATTTTATTTTTTATCAGCAATGTCGACTTACGAAATAGCGACACAAATTTTATATTATTTAAAAACAAAATATTGGCAAAGTAACAATTAATACTAACTTAAATTAATGCTATATGATATAAGTGTTAGTTGAGAATATTTTAACACTTATTGTCGATTAACTTCTTTGCTACACTTGTGTTTGTATGTTGATTTCTGACATTTTATTATGTGTTAGTTACTTTGACTCTGATACTTGCTTCGTACTTCACACCTTTACGTTGCAGTTAAAGAAGTAATACACTTTTTTTTATCTATCAGTTTTTATCCAATTTAAAGTATATATATATATACTTATGTGTATGTCAGAATGTATATTGTTTGAAGTTTATTACATTAAAGAAGCTGAATTTGTAGAAGCAGTTGAAAAGGTTAAAAGTTTTTTATTTTTGCAATTAAAATTTAAATAATAATATTAATATTATTATGAATTTATGAAATTAAGAATATTTGTGGTGCTATGATAATTTCTTTAGTGTAAGTACAATATTGAAAATGTAAATATAAATCTCTTTTAATTTAATGTTCTCGTAATATTTTCTATTAGTGTTTGTTTAACTAGTTAATTTATTTTCGTAAATTTTTCTTTGGTAATTTTTAATTTGATATGTAACCAAAAACTTGTTCGGAAGGGCAAATGTACCCATCTAGAAGTAATAAAGGGTTCTTAAATTAAGTTCCCCAAATATCGTCCCACAAGGATTATTTTTCAATTATTAAGAATTTCCTAATTCAATTGTTTAAGCTTCAAATATGAGATTAATTAAAATAAAAATTTATAATTATAAACTAAGAACAAGGAATACAATGCACGTCTTGATTAAACTTATCGGAGAGGAACCTAGGGTATATGGGTTTTATTATTCAATTTTTATGTTATTTTTCTATTTAACTCTAAAATCAATTTTCTTGTGATTATCAATCATTCATACAAATACTATTAATACCCAATGGTCATGTAATATTAATATTCTTTTCTCTAAATTAACATCCCCAATGGTCATGCAAGACATCAATTAAAGAAAGCTTAAGGAGCCTATGAACTTGTTAATTTAATAACGATTAGAAGAGAAAGATTGGTTTGGTCCACATAATCTTTTGTCTCATTTTACCCTATAGATCTATTAATTAATTGTGGTACGATCGCCTGATGATATAATTAATTAAGATTAAGAAAGAAGCGCAATAGGATAAAAGTTAATCACATAGCAGAAATTAAATTCAGATTCAAACATCAAATTTTCATAAATTCATAAACAATAGTTCCCATAGCCCTAGTTATGGACTTAGTTACTCATGCTACAGAAAATAACTAAAACAATCATGAACAAAGACATAAAGAAAAGAAATAGAAAACTAGAGTGTAAGATGTGTTCCCGGTCTTCAAGTATGATCGCTCGAAGCTCCAAGTTTCCCCCAAGCATGTGCCAAAAATCCTGTGGAAGAGAGACGAGATGAGAGATGTATCCCAGAGTAAAAGCCAAGATGTCAAAAATGGTGTGTAAAAGATATCTTCAATGGTGTATCAGGTCTTCCTTTAATAGGGTTTGAAATCCCTAAAAACTCTTCATTATTGGGCTTTCCGCAGATAAGCACAGCCGTGCAAGGCCTTAAGCACGACCGTGCATGGGCTTGAAGCACTCCCGTACTTGTTTAAAGGCGCTGGGCGTGCTGACTGCTGCAAAGCTCTAATCTTCTATCAATTGGGGCCCAAAATGCGCCCAAAATATACTTGCGGCCTCTTTATACAAAACTGCACAATTAACAAATAAATTAGTGTAAAACTCAAATAAAATAAAGATCAAATATGAATATATGGGCTATAAAAGAGGGCCTAATTATAGACTTATCAATATGTAAGATGACTAAAATTATGGTTATTTTATATTAGAATGGAAAAGTCTATGAAGGAAATGAGGGTATAATATTTGAAGAAAATAAGAAGATGATTAAGATAGAACGTGAAATTATTTTTGAAATGTTGAAAAGAAAGATACATATAAAATTGAGATTGTGCAGTAGTAATATAACTTCTAGACTAATTTCATGAATTTTAGTTGATGCAAGGAGTAGAAACCACACAATTTTAGATGTATGTGATGATGTTGTTGCACAATTGTTAGGTTTAAGTTTATCACTTTCACTTATTAATGTTAGTGACAATGAAGAAGAGTATGCAATTGGAAGAGATAATATACAATATTTATTTCAATAATATAATGTTTCAAATTTACTAATTTATTAATAAACATGTGTCATTGCATATGTAGATGAAGAAGATGAAAGACAAATTCTTTTAGACAGTTCTTCTGATACTAATTTGGATGATGGTTTTGATTCAATGATCAATATTTCAAACATTGAAAGAAATAGCGATGTGCAACAATGATCAACAGGTATAATTTTATATAATAAATTAATTATAAAATTTTTTTAACTAACTGATAAGTCTGTAATTAGGCCCTATTTTACAGTCCATATATTCATCTTTAACCTTTATTTTATTTGGTGCTCACACTAATTTATATATTAATTATGCAATTTGGTATAAAGATGCCGCAAGTATACTTTGGGTGTGTCTTGGGCCCAAATTGATAGAAGATTAGAGCTTCGAGCCCATGCATGGTCGTGCTTAAGGCCTTGCACGGCCGCACTCATCTACGAGAAGCCCAATTATCAAGAGTCTTTAAGATTTTCAAACCCTATTAAAAGGAGATCTCAAGCATCGTAAAGAGACCGTTTTTACATCTAGTATTTGGCTTTCGGATACACTTCTCGTCTCTTTTCTCTTGCATGGGATCCTTGGCACATGCTTGGCGAGACTTGGAGCTTCGAGCGATTGTACTTGAAGACTGAGAACTCATCTTATTCTAGTTTGCTTTTCTTTAGTATGAGTAACTAAGTTCATAGCTAGGGTCATGGGAACTATTGTTCATAAATTTATGGGAGTTTTGACGTTTGAATCTAAATTTGATTTCCGTTTCGTGATTAGATTTTATCTTATTGTGTTTCTCTCTTAATCCTAATTAATTATATCGTCAG